CATCCCACAAACCATGAGATTGTGACCTGAGCCAAAGTCAGCCACTTAACCGACGACTGAGGTACCCAGGTGCCCCAAGTCTAATGACTTCCTAGTGACACTGTCTCCCTTCAAGTCAGAAACTGAAGGGGTGGGGCTTCTGGAAAAGCTATTGTTTTCCTAATTAAAAAAGACTTAGTTGGCACATGCTTTTCCTTCCTTGCCCCACCCCCTCTTCTTGTCTGGACCACAGACCCAATGTCTGGAGGCGCAGCGGCCATCTTTGTCCAGGGCATAACAAGTGGTAGAAGGTAAGTTTCCGGATAAGAGTAAAATCACGATCCACACACACAGACATAAAAATGAATTTGTGTTAAAGACTTTGTTGGACTCATGAGGGAACAAGGCAGATGTTAAACCAGCTCAAAGGAGGAGCCAAGAAGCACACACTCCTATGAAATAAAAGAAGGTGAAAGTGAATGGAAAATGGAGGCGAAACTGTCTGTCCACAGGGTGGGAGGAGAGACAGTTCTCCTTCCACCTGAAAGGGTAGAATTTGCTTAATTACAGACAAGAAGTTCGCAATGCTATTCGTTACCTTTGAAGAGCCAAAAAGTAAGTCCTCCATTAAGAGCAACCTCGGGCTGCACGTATCCCCAGTCCCAGTTCCAAGAAAAGCCTCAGAATGTTAAAGGCTAAAGCCATCCTCGGACCGCCCTCAGGTCAGCTAATCAAAAAGAAAAAAGAAACACTCCTATGGTCTGAATCAAGGCTGGGAACTGCAGATACAAACTAGCCAATTTCTCACCACTTGCCTGAACCCCACGTGGGCCCTTTGAACTCACTTCACAATCGGTCATTTTCAAAGGATTCTCAAAAGTCATGATTGGGTCCCACCGAAAGTAATGAACACCTCACAGATACTGAATGGTCAAAGCTGTTATCAGGGGTGCTGTACAATTGTAATTGGTGCTTATGTGATGATGCTACGTGTACTGTAACACCCCCATCCCTTACTCCTTAAAATCCCTGTTTGCTATTGTTCTTGGCTTCACCTTGCTGCCACGACACTGGTAGGCTGGTGAGCCCCTGCTCGAGCTTGTAATAAAAACCCTTTTGTATTTGCATCGGTGCCGGCTCCTTGGAGGTCTCTGGGACTCACGATTTGGGCACAACACCTTCAGTTACAGCTGGGAAGGAGCTGCATAGAATGAGTCTTGTTGGGTGGAAGGCTGTGCTATGGGTAGCGCAGTCTTCCATCAGAGCGCCTGTGTTTTTCCTCGAGTGGCATCAGCTCTGGACTACAGACCTCTGGACTTTTTTTTTTTTTTTTTTAGTGTCTATTTATTTTTGAGAGAGGGAGAGACAGAGCACAAGCAGGGGAGAGGCAGAGAGAGAGGGAGACACGAGAATCTGAAGCAGGCTCCAGGTTCTGAGCTGTCAGCACAGAGTCCGATGCTGGGCTTGAACCCGAGAACTGCCAGACCATGACCTGAGCTAAAGTCTGATGCTCAACCAACTGAGCCACCCAGGCGCCCCTGGACTCCTTCTAAGGGAGAAAAACAAATCCCTATTTGCTTAAGTGACAGTTGGTTTCTGCTCAATGCACCTGGCCATGGTCCTGACAGATTCAGCTGAATTGAACACAAATGCAATTACTAGTAAAATGTCAAGAAGTCTAAGCTGGGGGGGTGGGGGGGGGGAAAGGAAGTCTAAGCCCTGGGAAGCTACAGGGGATATGAAATAATTGCAGCAAGGTAGAGGGATGACAAAGACGGTCTTTTTGGATGCAACAGTATTTCTGAGGGCTTTCTCGGAGGTGAATAACAACAATACTTAGTTTTGCCTTCCTTTCTTATTTCACCAGGAGTCCATCAACAGCTGGAATGCCTGCTCTCGGGTGTGATGGAGCGACTTGCAGCAGATCAAGGTTTCCACCACCAACAACTAGGAAAGCCAGATGGAAATGACAGACCAGATTGTCATCAGATCATCAGCTGACTTCAGAAACAAGCCAGAAGATAATGGAAGGGCATCTTTTTTTTAATGTTTTTTAAAATTTATTTCTAGGAGAGAGAGAGAGAGAGAGACAGCGTGAGCAGGGGAGGGTCAGAGAGAGAGGGAGTCACAGACTGAAACAGGCTCCAGGCTCCGAGCTGGCAGTCAGCACAGAGCCCGACGCGGGGCTCGAACCCACGAACCGCGAGATCATGACCCAAGCGAAAGTCGGACGCTTAACCGACTAAGCCACCCAGGCGCCCCTGGAAGGGCATCTTTAATGTGCTGAAAGAAAATACACCTGTTGGATTAAAAATTCCCCAAAGTTTTAGACAACAGGCTTTATTTAGGAAACAGGATGGTAGAGAGTTCCGATTTTACCTTTTTAACTGCCACACATACTACCGATTTGCAATTATTTTCTGGAATCAAGTAAAAAAAATCACTTAGCATTCCATAGAAGTTTCTCAAACCATAAGCCTACAGCAATGACTACCTACTCCCCTGTCATCATATGCACTTTTAGTTTTCATTCACCCTTGGGCTTAAAATCACAAAACTAATACTGTATATCAAATTCTTTTTAATATTAAAAGTAGGTTAAACGATAAAACACAGATCATTCTGAACTCAGTTCAACAGTATTACTACCATGGTCTGATTTACGTCATCATCTCTGCCTTTCCTTCTTTATCGTTTCAGAGTTGGAACATCATCTACCCACCTCTTGGGATGATCAGAGGTACTTGGGTTAAACAACTGGGAGCAGAACATGCCAGAAGCTTGAAACCAGGATGCAAAACTTGAGGACTACATGCTTTCAGAGTGATTCTCCCTGAGTCGGGCGAGCAGCCAACCCCTTTCTGACAGTGCCTGAGCTCCAGCCTCCACATTTCCTGGGGAATCAGAGTAACTCTCCGATCTGATATTTTCAAAACTTCTTTCATTTTCTATCATCTTTCAGGGGGATTGAAATTACGTATTCCCAATCAGCTGGGAACAAATCTCCCTCACCACCTACTTGGTTTGTCTTTCCATGTTTTTCTCATCCAGCTAGGATGCTAAATAAAATGACCACATCTCCAAATAAGGTTATCAGCAATTGAAAAGCTGCCAGACCGAAAGCGTGAGTCATCATTCAAATCCCCTGAAAATTCCTGTTTATAACCACTTCCCTCAAATTCTCATTTATAAATAGAAAGATCAAGAGTGAAGTGGTTTTCTTTTTAAATCCACTTCCTCATCTATAAAAAATTAGTTTGCTGCACAACTTAACATACGTATGTATATTGTTCTGATTGGAGCAATTCTAAATAAAGATGAACCGCTGAATCTTCCTGTTACTTTTTACTTTTCTAGCGAAAGTTGATAACACTCAGCATGAAATTTCATGGTCATATTAAGGGTGTTTGAGGGCTTTCTGATTCCACTACAGCAGAAGTAAAATCATTTACGCAGAAGTTGCTTGATTCCTTGTTACTATGAAACCCGTAGCAACAAAAACACAAACACAAATTAGGAAGAATTCTTCGTCCCACGACATTGCAGTTGAAGCCACTAAATGTCAGCGTTAGGAATAACAGAAAGGAGGTAGGTTAATAAAATACAACAAGAATGATGAAGTTGAATTATTGGGTAAAAGAGAATATGCATTTTGATTTTGATAGATTCTGCCACACTGCCCTTGAACGCCGTCCGAAGGGGCCTATTCCCACACAGCCTCGCCATCAACTGCGATCACGGTGTTTTCCAGTCTGATAGGCACAAGGTGGTTTCTTGGTGTAGTTTTAATTTGTATTCATCTCATCGTGAGTGAGGTTAAGGAATTTGTCATACGGTTATGAGCCATTTGTATTTCCTCTTCAGGAAACCATATTGTCAGAGCCTTTGCCCAGTTTTCTATTTTGGTCCTTTTCCTGTTGAATTGTAAGAGCTCTTTATATATCAAAGAGATTTGTCTTTGTAAGCTCTCAAGCCCCACTCGATCCCAGTGCCAGAGCAAGTCCTAGGATAGTTTTGGGGTTCGGACAGGAAGGGTCAGCAGCCTCGTCCCCGAGCAAACTTTCCGCGGTCTGAGATGGGCTCCTTCTACCTTCCATTTCCCGGTTCTCCTACCAAAGGCTCATCCACCCATCACTCAGCGCTCCGTCGGAACCTGTGCACATCCACCTGGGTTCTGCCCATGTTCCCCGGGCATTTCACAAGTTGCCGTCAATTTTTATGCACACTTGTCTTATTTTCTCACCTAGACATGCGGACGGAACCCAGACCATAGAATTATTTGTATTTACGACATTGCTGAGAAGAGAGCGGCTCTCCATCGACCCCCGCGGTTGCTAGTGCGAGGGGTACCTGGTGAGCAGGGCGTCAGGGGGAAGCCCCAGGGCAACGGGAAGTTCAGGTGAAGCAACCGAATTTCACCCTGGGGGGGAGGCCCGAGGGAGACCGGGAGGAAGGGAAACCTGCTTAGGCTGGCCTCGACCGAGGGGGTAAAGGGTTCTCGCCGCAAGGTCCGCTGGCCTTTTTCAAGGCTTTTGGTGAAAGGAAGCCAGGCGCAATTTCCCCGAGCAAACGGGGCCGAGCCTGCGGTCCCGCCGGGGACACCGGCTCCAACGACACTAACACCAACCCGGGACTCCAAGGGCTGAAACGTCCTACAGGCCCGGCCTCGCGACCTACTATAGGCCCCGCCCCCGCCCCGCCCCTCAGCCCCGCCCTCCCCTCAGCCCCGCCCCGTCCTCGCCCTGCCCCACCCACCCGGCCCGCACCCCACCCGCATTAGCCCCTCCCACAGGCAATACCAGCCCCGCCCCCAAGCTAGCTCCGCCCACAAGCCTACCCGACCGTCCCGGTAACCCCGCCCACACCCCCCCTCCTTCCGGGCCTCGAGAGGGTGGCGCGGCGGCCGCGGCGGCGGGGGCGGGGCCCGCCTCACCCGGAATGAAAACAAACGGCGGCCGCCGCCGCATCCGGGCACTTGGCGGGTCGCGGCGGGCGCGGTGGTGGCGCAGGTGAGGAGGCGGCGGCCGAGCGTCCGGTCCCCGACCCGGGTCTCAGCGGCGCTGTCCCGCGGCGCCGGTTCCCGGCAGCACCCCGACGCACCCCCAGGTCGGCGGGGGCGCGGCCACAGCGGCGGGCGGCGGGCGCCCTGCGCGGAGGGCGGCCGGGGCTTCGGGACCCGACGGTTCGCGCGGCCCTAGGTCTGCGCTGGGCTGGGCCGGGATGGGGGGGGTGTTTAAAAATATGTGGAGTATTGGTGGGGGGGCAGAGAAAGAAATGTATACATTAAAAATAATCTAATTAGCCAGGCGACAAGCTTGAGTCATAACACTGTTAGTCCAAATACGCCGTTTGGGCTGGGTTTGCAGTCAAAGCTAGATTTTCTTTGCTCTTTAATGAGAAAACATGGTTGAATCTGCATTTCTCTGACGACCTGGTTCTGCGTTTCTCACCTCCTTCCCTTACTCTTATTTTTTAATACAAGAATCTTTCACTGTTCCATCTAAGAGCAAATGTATTTTGAAGATGCGTGTGCCTATGCGTATTTGAAAAGCTCTGGGAAAAGGTAGCGCAGATTGGTTCCTGGCAAAAGTGAAAGTGAAAATGTTAAAGGTGTGGTGTAAAACGTTTCACTTTCAGTTTGGAGCAGTGATAATGAATTTCTTGGCTTCCCTCCCCCGTTTTATTGGGAAATAATTGAATTACACCATTGCTTTTTTTTTTTTTTTGGATATAATGTGAAACACTGTATGGCACGCGTGAAACTTTCAGTTCTCCAGTTAAAACTGAAACTGGTTTATTAAACTTTTTTTCCCTTTGCTTTGATTTAAAGTACATATCTTTGATCCTGTTGTCTATAACTGGAATTTATGTAAATTTCAAAACAGCAGATTATTTTTTTTTAATTTTTAACATGTATTTATTTTTGAGAGACACAGAGAGAGTGCTAGCAGGGTAGGGGGAGACACACACACACACACACACACACACACACACAGAATCCAAAGCAGTCTCCAGGCTCTGAGCTGTCATTACAGAGGCTGACACAGGGCTCAAACCCATGAACTTTGAGATCATGACCTGAGCTGAAATCAGCCGCTCAACCTACCAAGCCACCCAGGAGCCCCTAGATTATTTTTTTTAACATTAAGTCTTGTGCCTGTAGATCTCCATCTGTCGATTTGCTCAGTGGGTAGAGTGTGGGACACACACTACATTTGTGAAACCTTTTGGGCCTTTAGTCAGGCAGAGGCTAGGATGGGCCACGGAGGGCTGTGCACTTGGCCTTACAAACAGCTTGCCTCTCCATAAGCAGCCCATGAAATGATCACTCCCCACCCCCCATCCATTGATATTTTATTCAGAATGCCTGAAGATTTGAGTAGGGAACTAGATATAGTGGTTGTGTGAGTAATTTCTGCTTGAAAAGCTAATGCTCATAAGTACTCATGCTTTTCTGTGTGAGAAGTGGTTAATGCATAAAAATGCATAAAAATCCAGGTTTCTCCCGTGGGTCACCTGAATGCACAAGCCCTTCCTTGATGTGTTTATTCTTTACTCCCTTTCCTTTTCCGTATCCTGATTACCCTCTTTCTTCCCCCTTGCTGATATAAAATAGATTTGCACTTTAAGCTATTTATTTATGGAATACACTTAAGTTAACACAGTTGATTTAAGAATTAGGTGAATTGAGTTTTAGGGGTGTGTGGAATACCGGCCGTATATATAAAAAAGAGAAAGTTACTTATCAAGATTATATTAACCCTTATATATGAATTTTTTACTCTATGGAACTTGTCTTCATCATTCAGAAGCTAATTACCTTTTTACTTTTCTTACTCCTTGTCTAATTTGTGTGGTTGACATCTCTAGCAGACTTATCCACCCCTTCAAATTGCTGTGCTAATGAAAGATGAGTGGACCGCTCCATTGCTGGCAGGTGCTTCTTCGGGGGAGACTAGTTACATACACAGGACAGATAAGCAGCGAAGGACTGCGTGCCAAAATGCAGAGTCCAATGTCGTAGGCAGAAATCCCAGTGCTAGCCATGGTGCTCCCTAACTTTATGACCTTAGCCAAGTCACTGTACAGACTTGGGGCCTGGGTGTTTTCGGCTGTAAAAGGATGACCTAGCCGGTATTAGATTTGAATAGCGTACACAGATCTGTTGTTGTGTGCTTGTCATAAAATAGGTACAATTTTTCTAGTGAAACTTTTTTATTTAAAACATTCAGATACAGGGCATCACAGTTCAGGCTAGCTTTTATGTTTGCCCTTCCCAGGTGGTTGGTCTCTGTGTGAAACTCACCAAAATACAAATACAAGAGAATGTATAAGCTCTATGTTGAATCGTTTATGAACGTTAACAGCCTTAGGGATTCGCCTTTGCCTCATTTTATCTTTTCGCTTAGATCAGAGAATAATATATTAAGAAATAGGGAAGTATCAGAAAGCTTGCTACGTCTTAGCAACTTAGAAATGCATACTTTATGTAACAGTAACTTGCGATTGTATATACATTGTGTACTTTAGCATAGGTATAAAATATACATATTAGAGAAGTCTAGAGCTAGTTGAAGCCTAGTCTAAAAGTAGCTTAGGTTAAACAGGAAGGGAGAGGAGTGGAGGGGAGCTCTTCTTTCCACAGAGGTAAGTTATCAAATGCCTTGAATATGGTACGGAGTTTCCTTCATATACTGTTTTGCTTTCAAGAATGGCGCAAAAGAAATATCTCCAAGCAAAATTGACCCAGTTTTTAAGGGAAGACCGAATTCAGCTTTGGAAACCTCCATACACAGATGAAAATAAAGAAGTTGGCTTGGCACTGAAGGTATTTTCTGTTAAGACCTAAGTAAATAGTGGTGTTGTAAGTCTCCTTGGTGAATAAGATTCTGAAGCCACCAGAAATTGCCAGGAATCACCATGTAACTTCTGGCCTAACCAGAAGCTTTAGCAATAGGCAGGTGCCCACTTTTTACTAGGAGTTGACAAGCTCATTTTTGTTTACTAAGATTTTACTCATAGGAAAATGTTTTCTAAATTTCCCAGGCACACACACTATTTTTAATACCTTCACAGTGTTACGTAACAGTGGTAATTGGGGAATTATTTTGACCTGCCCACGAGACGGTACTGATGCCTGTATTGTGTGTTCAGAGGGAGCTGCTGGCTTTGTTCTCAGTTCTCCTTGCTCACGTGGTTCACTATAAGACAGTGACTCCCTTCCGCCAGCTTCTCTTAGGCCATGGCTGTCTGTTCATTTGTCCAAAATATACCTTTCTAAGAATTACATCTCAGGTTTTATGGCATTGCTTTACATGAGGTTCCTAGACATTAAAAACAAAACATTAATCGTTTACTTTGTATTTCTTTAAAGTGGATGTATTTATTAGAGAAGGACAGTGCCGGTGGGGGAGGGGCAGAGAGAGAGAGAGAGGGAGAGAGAGAATCCCAAGCAGGCTGCGTCCAGAACCCAGTGCGGGGCTCAACCCCATGAAGCCATGAGGTGATGACCTGCGCCGAAATGGAGAGTTGGACACTTAACCAGCTGAGCCACCCAGGCGCCCCCGTCAATCATTTTTTTTTTATATGGAAATGTGTCATATTGCAGTATAGCGTGTCCTGCTTTGCTTTCTCAGTCTGAGTATCCTGAGACAAATAGCGTAAATGTTTCTTGGGGACCCAGGACTGTCACAAGGGCATCCTGTTGTCCCGTGTGTGACCCAGGGATGTGCTTGGGAGGAAAGAGTTTTCCTGTTTTTCCTGTTCCTGACAGACCCCACTTTTTTTTTACAACCCATCTTCTGACCTTTTTTCTGGATTCGCTTGTTACAGTCTCTTGGCTCAGAAGCTAGGGATGGCAGAATACGAAAGCTGCCTGGTCTTTGCCCGCAGGACGTGACGCAGAGTTCCTAAAACCCCCGGAGTGTCCCCAGTGGTCAGGGCGCTAGGAGCATCATTTGTCCCAGTGAGGCAGGTGTTCGGCAGGTATTGCTAATACCTTCAGGAGGGGGCTGCGGCCCAAAAGACCAAACTCGGATTAGAAGCTTCGATTCTCAGCCCAGTTTCCAACCTCAGAGAGGGGAGAGGGCTGGAGAGTGAGTTCATTACCAAAGGCCAATGATGCACTCAGCCAGGCCTTCCTAAGGGACCCCCATAAAGCTTCCAGATGGGCTGACCTGTCCCTGTGCTATGAGGGGGCCATGCCCCACCTCCTCAGGGACAGAGGTGCCTGCACTGGGGACCCCTCCACACTCGGCCTTCTGTGCCCCTTCACCTAAATACTCATTCGTAGCCCTTATACTCAACCATGACCACGAGCACAGTGTTCTTCTGAGTTCTGTTGAGTCATTCTAGCAAATTATGATTTGACAACCAGTACCAGTGACTCAGAATTTTCTGTTAAGTAAGTTATTTTAGTTTAACCTGACTTGTTCTCACAAGTCAGAAAAATGGGAATGTTTTCTATGTGTGTGTGTGTGTGTGTGTACGCACGCGTGCGCTTCTTTCTGTCCCCTCCAATGGAACTGACCACTTCACCGTTCCTTAAAGTAACTTATAATGTATTACAGGCAATGTAAGTCGTGGCCCCCCTTTCTTTTAGCCCAGGATAATCCCCGCTATTTTCACTTCTTCTGTTTGGTCCGTTTTCCTATCCTTTGTTTTGTTTTATTTTGTTTTTTTAACTGTTATTTTAATGTTTTTTCATTTTTGAGAGAGAGTGAGTAGGGGAGGGGCAAAGAGAGAGGGAGAACAGAATCCAAAGCAGGCTCCAGGCTCTGAGCTGTCCGCACAGAGCCCGACGTGGGGCTCAAAGTCACAAATCGCAAGATCATGACCTGAGCCTAAGTCGGACGCTCAACTGACTGAGCCGCCCAGGTGCCCCATCCTATTCTTTGTTTTTATTGCACTTTATTTTTGCCTCCACCCTTCCTAGCCTCTCTCCCTCTCATGATGCTGAGCCCGTCTGGGTTTCTCTCTGGTGGGCTGACCGCCACTCAGCAGAGCCCTACACGCGCCCTCCTGTACTGTGACCCTTCTCTGGAGTGGGCACTACATTGACCTGCTTGCTGATCTGGCTTCACAGGACCTTGCCAAGAAGTACTCTGACAAGCTAGAATGTTGTGAAAATGAAGTGGAAAAGATAATAGAAGAAATACGTTGCAAAGCAATTGAGCGTGGCACGGGAAATGAAAATTATAAAACAACAGGAATTGCTACAATCGAGATATTTTTACCTCCCCGACTAAGAAAAGTGAGTAATTTCCCCAAACGAGCACATAGGTACCGTTGCTTTGTTAACTCAGTGATAAATTGTGATTTTTAATTTTTTTTAATGTTTTATTTATTTCTGAGAGAGAGAGAGAGAGGCAGCGTGAGCAGGGGAGGGTGAGAGAGAGAGGGAGACACAGAATCTGAAGCAGGCTCCAGGCTCCGAGCTGGCAGTCAGCACAGAGCCCGACGCAGGGCCCGAACCCACGAACCGTGAGATTGTGACCTGAGCCGAAGTTGGATGCTTAACCGACTGAGCCACCTGGGCGCCCCAAATTGTGATTTAAAAAAAAAAAATGTTTATTTATTTATTTTGAGAGAGCGAGCGAGCAGGGGAGGAACAGTGAGAGAGGGAGAGAGAATCCCAAGCAGGCTCCACACTGTCAGCATGAGCCCGATAAGGGGCTCGAACTCCCAAACCGTGAGATCATGCAGCGCTGGAGGCGCCGGGCTGGGCCCTTGTGTCACATGGGCAGCTCCCTTGAGTAGAGACACGTTACCAACCTCTCTGAACGTCTGCCTTCCCAGCAGAGGCTGAGCACTCGTGGGGCGTCCGCCACCACCCCTTGGAGGGCGGCTCGGTCTCGGGGTCAGCATGTCCCGTAGCGTCTCCGCCAGGCAGGCATCCTTTCAGGCCTGAGCGCCGTCTCATACCAGCCTTCCTGATTTTGTAGACAGAGTCATAGCACCAAACAGTGTCACATTGAAGTACATTTTCCTTTATTTGCCTTTTCTAAAATAGGAGCGGAAGAACCTGCTGGAGACCCGACTGCACATCAGTGGCCAAGAACTGAGGTCAAAGTAAGTGTGTGTCTGCCCGGTGCCCCGGCCGCGCTCCACCCTGTGACGCTGGCTCGTCTGATCCTTCGTGACGAGTCCAGGAGAGAGACAGGCCACGTGTTCCTTCTCACCTAGCGGAAGGGAAAGCCGAGAACTCGAGCAGGCTCACACTGACAGTTCAGGGCAAAGCAGGAACGCAGGACGGGCACCCCTGGCCTTCATTTCCTGGTCGAACTCGAGGTCCCGGGGTCACTGTGCCTGCCACCTGACGGGTGCTTGCTACCCTGTTCTAATCTATGAACGGGTGGCGCAAATAACCTGATATTCACCAGATCGCTAGCTCTGACTTTTATTTCTTCGCGCGCTAACGACTTGCTGTGACGTTCTGTGAGGTGTGCCAGCCCATTCCAGGCTGGTGGCCTCTCTATAAGAAGAAAAAATACCCACCACAGGCCAGTGAAATTTACCTTTTGAGACCTGGTTGGTGGGGTCGTCCGCGTCCCGATTTTTAAGTGGTGTCTTGACCACCTGCAGAGAGCTGGCCAGTCCCTGTTTGTGGAGCTGAGTTTTCTCATTGTCTTTGGTCTGTGTCACGGCTGGTAGGGATGGATTCAGGAAGCATCATTCATGCAACACACATGAGCAGCAGATTGCTGGGAACACCCCTCTGTGATGGGCTCCTCCAAGGAGACCACGGGAGGTGCGGAGAACGGATTTGGTCCTGACATACAGCCAGCCTCCCCCCTCCCCCCCAGCTTCAGTGGGTCTTCCGCCTGAGTGCTCTCCCCATCGTGGGGAAAGAGATAGTTTAAAAAAGGACACTGTCTCTTACACAGTCTCAGGTAACCACCTAGGAAGCTGGCTCTGCCATGGAGTGACGTTTGTGAGTCCATAAATCGAAACGCCCAAGCTTCTGAGTGAGACATATGACGCAGCTGTCATGATTACACTCTGCTTAGCAGCTGATGACAAGTTGTTGACCTGTTCGTGTACTGGTTTATTTTACAGAATAGCCGAGACCTTTGGATTCCAAGAAAATTATATCAAAATCGTCATCAACAAGAAACAGCTTCAACTAGGTATGGCGTGGCCCAATTTGGGGCCGAATTTCAAATCGAGTTAATGTAACAACTCTCCGTCATTTTTTCTCTCTCTTTTTCAACTCACAAATTTCTAGTGGCTTTCTCGCATGTAGAGTCTAAGAGAGATCAGTGCAGTGGTTATTAAAATAAAAACGTAAAGCAGAAAGCACCTTTTCTAGTCAACAGTGACTGTCTGTTTTGTGCTGACCAGAAGGCAGACACTCACCCTGGGTCTGAGGAAATGTTACAGAATGGGGATGTAGGTGTATGAAGAGTCAAGTGGGAGTTCTGGTAAGTTCTCCCCATGGCAGAAGTGCTAAGGCTAAATGGGGACACTTAGAGGTGTTCCCGACTGAGAGCCTCCCATTGGAGCCTCCAACGTGAATTTGAGCCATTGAGAAAAGTCCAGTATGGCTGAGGCTAGGAAGTGCGGGGAGGGAGTGCTTTTTTTTTTTATAAAATTTTTTTTAATGTTTTATTTATTTCTGAGAGAGAGAGAAGAGAGCGTGAGCAGGGGAAGGTCAGAGAGGGAGGGAAACACAGAATCTGAAGCAGGCTCCAGGCTCTGAGCTGCCAGCACAGAGCCCGATGCAGGGTTCGAACCCACGAACTGTGAGATCATGACCTGAGTCGAAGTCGGAGGCTTAACCGACTGAGCCGCCCAGGCGCCCCAGGGAGGGAGTGCCTTTTAAGGATGGAGGGCCAGGCAGAGGCCACAGTGAGAAGGCGACAGCAGTGGTTCTCAAGCGCAGGGGTGACTTTGCCACCCAGAGGAAAATCCACAGTGCCTGTTCTGGTTGCCGTGACTTGGTTGTGGGGTGCGGGTGGGGGCGTGTGCTCCTGTCACGTGGGGAGTAGCAGCCAGGGACGCTGCTGGACCCGACACAGGGCACGGGACAGCTCCCGCAACAGACTCACGTGGCCCGCGATGTCGGGCGTGCTGCTGGGGGACCCTGGGCCCTGTGAGCTTGTGCGTGTTGGGGTGTCCTTCCTAACAGGCAGGAAGCCATGGATACTGGGGGGCACGACACACTGGGGTTCAGAGGTCCCTTTGGCTGCCCTCGGGGGTGGGCCCGAAGGAGGCGTGAGTGGACCCGAAGGAGGCGTGGGTGGACTCGGGGGGCCGGTTCGCCGCTGCAGCAGTTGGGGCGGGCACTGCGGTCTGCTCCCCGGACATCCTCGGGGCTTAGAGTCAGGTTCACATCCTCGCTCCATGGAACGCAGCCACCTACATGCAGCCCTGGCCCTCCTTTCCGGCGCCCTCGAGAGCCACTTCCCCTGGTCTCTTCCGGCTGTCATAGGCAGCTTTGCGCCCTCACCTCTGTGACAGCACCGCTGCTGGTGGTCGTCATGGGGCAGAAACCCTGGATTTTGTTCTCAGACCCATCAACTTTCACCTTAGCATTTGTGTTTCACTAGGTTATTTCCCCGCCCCAGGGCCACGCAGTTCCCTATGTTTTCTTGTAGTGGCTTCATCTGCACGAGGTCGGTAACTGTCCCAAGTCTCTCTTTATATTTAAAGGCTAAAGCTGGAGCTTACCTTGCCCTTGCCGCTCTGCTCTTTGGCGCCCCCTTTAACTGACTGAGCCACCCAGGCGCCCCCTGGCGCCCCCTTTATGAGAGCTCTGTTTCTGCACTTCCTGTTCTTCCATTTACCTGTAGGTTTTCTTCCAGACCAGAACCACGGAGGTTTTTTGTTGGGGTGTAACTGACATGTAACATTATGTGAGTCCCAACTGTACAATGAAGGATTCAGTGTTTGTGTATATTGTGGAACGAGCACAATCACCTGTCACCTCACATAATTAATTTTGTGTGTGTGTGTGTGAGGAGGACTTTTAAGATCTATTCTCTGAGTCACATTGAAATATAAAACACGGTGTTATTCATTGTGGTCAGCAGGCGCACATTACAGCCCAGGACGGACTTACTTTGTAACTGAAGTTTCTACCTTTTGACCGCCTTCACCCGTAGACTTCTCTTACCGTGGCTTTGTTGTAGTTTTAAAATCTAGTTAGTAAAAGGAGTCCCCTTCTTGGCTCTTTTGTTTGTTTTACATTTACTTATTATTGACCAGGGGAGGGGCAGAGAGAGAGGGACAGAGGATCTAAAGCAGGCTCTGTGCTGACAGCCTGATGTGGGGCTCAAACCCACAGATCGTGAGATCATCACCTGAGCCGAAGTCAGATGCTTAGCCGACTGAGCCACCCAGGCGCCCCTTGGCTCTTCTTTATCAAGGTGACTTGACCATTGGCATATCTTTATTTTCCTACATTTCAATGGTTGCCAAGTTTCTTGAGGAAAAAATCCAACTGGAGTTTTCTAAAAAAAAGTATTCAAAAGTTTAGGTTTATAGCTCATAATATTTCGTTATTTTAAAATCTCTACGTATGTGTGTTTATTCTTCTTCATTTTTGTGGTGATTTATTTTCATCTTTGACTTAGTTTTTCTGAGGTTTGTATATTTGATTACTTTTTAATGGAACCAGGTTTGGTTTGGTTAATAAGCTCCTTCATCCCGGTTCATTGATTTCTGCCACTTTTTTTTTTTAAACGTTTATTTATTTATTTTGAAAGAGAGAGAGAGAGAGAGAGCGCAAGCAGGGGAGGGGCAGGGAGGGAGACTGAGTATCCCAAGCAGGCCCTGTACTGCCAGTGTGGAGCCGGACGTGGGGTTTGAACTCACCAGATCATTGACCTGAGCTGAAACCGAGAGTCAGACACTTAAGCGACTGAGCCACCCAGGCGCCCTCTGCTGGTATCTTTATTTCCATCTTACGTATGTGGAAACTGGGTCCTAGGAAATAAACACTTTTCTCCGGGCCACGGAGCTAAAAAGGGGTAGAACCCAAGAGGCTTGCTGTTAACCGCCTCGGTAGAGCGCCTCTCACCATGCCCCCTGGCACCGGGGCTTCTCGCCTGCTCCTGCGAACCGGGGTTATGGTTTCTCCGGCCAGAGGGGAGGAAAATTCACCGGTTGCTCTTACCACCTCCCCTCCCCCACCTCGCCTAGCAGTAGCTGAAGCCCGTGTGTTGTCGCCCAGGACGCGGCGGCTCGCGGGTACTCGTGCAGGGTTAGGAGCTCACGTAGGGGCGCCTGGGTGGCTCCGTCAGCTAAGCGTCTGATTTCAGCTCAGGTCATGATCTCGTGGTTCCCAGGTTCGGGCCCCCCGTTGGGCTCTGTGCTGACAGCTCAGAGCCTGGAGCTGCTTTGGATTCTGTGTCTCCCTCTCTCTCTGACCCTCCCCTGCTCACTCTCTGTCTTTCTCTCTCAGAAATAAATAAAACATTAAAAAAAAAGCTCACGTAGAGTCATGGAGAACGGACTGCTCTGCAGCACCTCCGGCGGCTCGTCTCGTAATGAGCGTCTCCCGTTTGTGCAGGGAAAACTCTCGAAGAACAAGGAGTGACGCACAACGTGAAAGCGATGGTGCTCGAACTGAAACAGTCCGAGGAGGACGTGAGGAAAAACTTCCAGGTGGAAGAAGAAGAGCAAAATGAAGCCGAGCTAAAAGAAAAGAGAATTCAGAGGACCAAGAGAGGCCTGGAGATCTTGGCGGAGAGAGGTGCGCGGGGCCCTGGGCTCTTTTTCTCACTAGGGGTCTCTTACAGGCGGCGGCAGATGGGACCGGGGCGGCGGGTGGGGGGCCCTTGTCCCCCGCGATCTCGCAGTTCGGGGTCCCCATCGCTGCGTTTCAGCGAACTTCCGCCCGGTTCCATTGCAGCGGAGATGGTGGTGGACCCGGAAAGCACGCCGTACTTGGACATAGCGAACCAGACGGGCAGGTCCATCCGAATCCCCCCGTCGGAGAGAAAAGTAAGGACCGGAGAAGTGTCTGGCTCGCGCTTTGATTTGCTGTCCAGAGTGGAAGCGGTTTTCTAGGTCTTCTATCTTGGACTGTTAGAAAGGACTAGAAATGGCTCTCTGGGTGAGCAGGGGATGTCCCTGTATGGGGGGCCCCTGCGTTCGGCGGACTCAGCCGGTGAGTCTGGGCGCAGCGGAACGGAGCGGCACGACCGCGCCGTCCCGCAGCAGGGACTCGGAGCGTTCCGGAGCGAGCCATGTGACGCACCGCCTTCAGAATAAGTGGCTTCCCGTGGCAATGGTAGTTTTGATGTGGTTTTTTTCCCTAGAGGGCCCCGCCCCCTCGGGGATGGATCAGAGTAGGGACCGGGGTGGGGGCAGGGTGGGGAGGCTGTGCCACTTGGGAAGAGTCTGACAGGCGATTCCGCCATCTCAGCCCGGGCTCCCCACTCCCGCATCCCTTTTCGCTGGCTTGGAAGAGGCAGGAGATGGTGTCACCGTGGGACACATCCGGGGGCATCTTTGTGCCTCCTCCTTTAGCGGCGCCCCGAGATGAGGGGGCGGCGGGAGTCCAGGGAGCCGTCGAGACTGTGGGCCAAGTCCGTTTTAATTGTCTTTATTATTTTAAATGTTCATTTTTGGGAGGAAGCCAAGCAAGGGAGGGACAGAGAAAGGAAGACAGAGCGAGGGAGATAGGATCAGGCAGCGCCCAGACTGAGGCGGGCTCCATCTCCCCAACCCTGAGATCGTGACCTGGGCCAAGGTCGGAGCTTAACCAACTGAGCCACCCAGGTGCCCCTAATTTTTCTGTCTTTAAAAGACAAATTTGAGTAGGTCTCGCGATACGAATTACTCCCTTTAAGATGAAGGACTGAAGTTAAGTTTTTGAGAAAATAACTTTGTAGCCATCAGCAGATTGATTGATGTTTGTTTTTAAATGTTGGTAATTATTTATTTGCCCACAGCTCTCTCACATTAAAAGAGGATATCTAGATCTTTCTTGGAAAACATTTACAAGACTGATTCATACAAGTACAAATCTAAATATCAATGAGCTTAAAAAATTTTTTGGATTACCTTTTTTTTTTTTTTTTTTTTTTTTAAAGTAAGCACTTTGCCCAAGCATGGGGTTTGAACTCCTGGCTCCAAGATCAAGAGTCACCTGCTCTGCCACCTGAACCAGGCAGGTGCCCCTTGATTGCCTTTTTAAAAAATCGTTTTAGAGGGGCATTTGGGTGGCTCAGTCATTTGAGTGTCTGACTTTAGCTCAGGTCAAAATCTTGTGATTCGTGACCTTGAGCCCCACGTTGAGCTCTCTGCTATCAGCCTATCGGGGAGAGCCTACTTCAGATCCTCTGTCGCCCTCTCTCTGTCCCTCCCCTGCTTGCACTCCCCCAAAAATAAATAAATATTTTTTAAAAATAAGTAAATAAAAATTATTTTAGAAATAAAGAGTTGACAGCTTAGAAAACACTTCGTTAAGACAACAAAGTGAAATGAATATATTTTTTAAAAAGGATACAAGCAAGTGTCGCTGGCTACTTTTTTTACGTGTTCAGTCTTCTCAAGTACTAGAAGTAGATCTAAATCATTGAGATACTAAAATAAACTGATGGAAACCCAGGGGCAGGTACTGGCTAGAACCGTATCAGCCGCATTAAACTGAGTGCTTGATCTCACCATTTCAGTGAAATGAAAGCGTTGCTTATATTTTTCTTAATTTTGGCTTTTAGATTTCGTTGTGATCTTGTTTTTTTAAATCTCTATTTGATTTCTTTAGATTTAATATGCTTTTTAATATAATTTGTTTTATTATGGTTTAAAGTGATGCTTTTTTAAAATCCATATTTTTTTCTAGGCCCTTATGTTAGCTATGGGATATCACGAGAAGGGCAGAGCTTTCCTGAAAAGAAAAGAATATGGAATAGCCTTGCCATGTCTGTTGGATGCCGACAAATATTTCTGGTAGGCACTCTTGTATTTGGTGGATACCAGTTTTAAGGAAGATCTCCCAGTTCAGGAAGATCTTCTGGTTTTAAGGAAGGTCTTCCGCGTGAAAGATTTTATAAACATGCGCACTTACTGTTCTTACAGCAAGCACGTGGGACATAGGTCTGGTTTTTGGGATACGTCGGCAGCCTGCCCCATCCGTCTTGAATAATGGCCAGAACTTTTCCCAGTTTGATGAAAACCTGTAAGCCCCCGGGTAAAAGGACCTTAATGAATCCCAAGTAAAAGAAATATGGAAAAAACTAGACTGGGGCATACCATAATCTAGTTCCTTAACACCAGTGATTTAAAAAGACTTCTTAGGGGCGCCTGGGTGGCTCAGTCGGTTAAGCGTCTGACTTCGGCTCAGGTCATGATCTCACGGTTTGTGAGTTCGAGCCCCGCGTCGGTCTCTGTGCTGACAGCTGGGAGCCTGGAGCTGCTTCAGATTCTGTGTCTCCCTCTCTCTCTGCCCTTCCCCTGCTTGTGCTCTGTCTCTCACTGTCTGTCAATAATAAGTAAATGTTAAAAAAAATTTTTTTAAAGACTTTTGAGCCAGCCTTCCCTGAAAGAAAACAGGTATGTAGGCTTAGCTTATGTTTCTTGAAACTAATAGCTTTATTTTATATGAAAATTTTGAGCTCCTAAGGCAAATAGAGTAAGTTTCTGTTAAGTCACTGACTTCAGCCCAAATGGGATTTAATTTTTCTAAAGGTAGGCTCAGTAGGCCTTATTTAAATAAATGTTGCTCATTTATTTACTTTAATGTTTTTAACATGAAAACTTTTTGACTGTTGATTGTGAAAGCCACTCAAACCATAAGCCAAAGCAGCGTTTATAAAAATATATTCTATGGTGCAATTTGATACCAGGCTTTGAAATTTTTTTCTTTTCCCCTGAGTGACCTGATCAAGTTCAAATAAGGGCTCTAAGAGTTTCAAAATTACTACATATAAGTGATGATGATCTTGTGGTCTCCCTTACAGGCCTCTCTGTGAATAGAAAGTGTCCTTTTTGAAACTAAAAGAACGAAATGTATTTCTCAGCTGTGAGATGGGTGTTTGTTTTCATGTTGCACAGGCTCCGTTGGGGCTTGAACTTGGATGCTGGATTTTATGTTTACCCGAAATGAGGCAGTTCCTGCCCTTGCTCTTCGTGCTTATTAAACACAAATGAGCCTGTGCACACATGTAAGACATTGAAAGTGATGGCAGAATGTCCCCTGCTTTCTTACGAACAGCACGATAGTCTGTCACAGAGACAGAAGGAGTCTAGAATGTAGGATCACCTTGAACGTAAGGCCCTTCCTCTTCCTCAAAGGCGAGTTCTCAGGCTGAGCAGGCAATTCCGAGAACGTGCAGCTGCCCAGCCAGGTGCCTGCGCGTGGGCGTCTGTGCAAGCGTGAGTGTGTGTGTTGCAGTGCCCTCACAAAGAGGTGTGTGTGTCTCCTGAATGCCAGTAGGTTGTCCCCTGCGCACCCCTGAGGCCTGACATTCCACTCAGGAGACTCCTTCTCTACAGTGTAAAAGACGCGGTCACATTTCTTTGCTTTTTCTTTTTTCCTTCCAGGCAGCTGGTGGTAGGCAAGGTGGGGGCCAGAGGGTGTGTGGATTCTGTAGTTTGATACAAGAGCAGCCTTATTTTTAATAGAATACCCATGAAAACAAACAGGCAAGACCTTTCTCTTTTTAAAAAAATTATTTTCAATGTTTATTTTTGAGAGAGAGAGAGAGAGAGACCGTGTGAGCAGGGAGGGGCAGAGAGAGGGAGACGCAGAATCCCAAGCAGGCTCCAGGCTCCGAGCTGTCAGCACAGAGCCCGACGCGGGGCTCGAACTCACAAACTGTGGGATCATGACCTGAGCCGAAGTCGGACGCCCAGCCAACCGAGCCCCCCAGGCGCCCTTCAGTTTTGTCCAGGTGTCACACACGATTCCAAATATTTTCCTTCTTTGTTGATGAGGAGATTCAGATTTCAGGTCTGGATTTGCACTATGATTTTCTAAAAATCACATTTTAAAATAAAAATGATCTTGATGTCTCTCTTTGTCAACATATCATCATCTTGTCTTCTCCTTTCTCTGGACTTCGGTTTAGCCCTGCTGCCGCAGCTACAGAGTAGCATTTAGCCTGTACCTGGGCCCCCCTATCCTAGGATTTAGAGCCTGGCATTTTCTGGATCGTTTTTCCTCCCCAGCTTGCCTATGATTGCACATGAATACCTTGTTTTCACCAGTTGGGGTATTCCCAGTAAGTAGGGAATTTTTTTTTTTTTTTTTTTTGGTGTGTTTTTAAAGCATTGGTTCTTAGCTTTGACTGTATGTTAGAATCACCCAGGGAGATTTTCCACCGACAGCCTCCAGGTCCTGTCTCCAGATATTTCTTTACAACTTGATGTAGATGGCATCTCGGCATCAGTGTTCACCAAAATAAAAAAAAAGAAATCCCTCACTTCCAGGTGATTCTGATTTGAAGTCAGGGTTGGAAATCTTGGCTTGAACTCATGGTCTCCTCCTGTTTGCTTGGGGGTATTGACACGGTGACCCCGATTTCCACTTCCTGCTGCACCTCTTTCCTGGCATAGCAAGAATGTGTGTGTGTGCGTGCATGGGTACGTGCGCGTGCCCTGGGTGGATGGTACTAGACCATTCTTCCTGGGCCGTGACTGCTTTTTCCCCATTGGGAGGATCCAGCTTATAAATACAGCTCCCTTCGCAAACACGGGTCCATGCTGTAGACCAGCCAGTCTTCGGAAGCACAGCGAGACCCGGAGAAGACTGGCAGAAATGCACAAGAAGGCGGTTAATGCTCCTGCTGTGTCCCCCCCCCCCCCCCCCCCCCCCCCTCAGTGAGTGTTGCAGGGAGCTGCTGGACACGGTGGATAACTACGCGGTGCTCCAGCTGGACATAGTGTGGTGTTACTTCCGCCTGGAGCAGCTGGAATGCCTTGACGATGCAGAAAAAAAGCTCAACTTGGCTCAGAAATGCTTCAAAAATTGTTACGGAGAAAACCACCAGAGGCTGGTCCACATAAAAGTATGTTACCGTACTCTGCTTTGTGTCTCATTGAGCCCATTTCTAGCACTCGAGCTCATTCCTGTTAAAATGTAGGCGGCTGCCGAACAGTGATCGGATGGTTGCCTGCCTGGTGCTCTTACTTTAGGCCCCTTTTCAGCTGGGTCGTTAAACGTTTTACAGGCTGGGCCGTTCCTGTGGGCTGCCCAGCGTGTAGCCAGAGGGGACACATTTCCCAGCCACACGACCCTGACCGAGAGAGCCGGTGACTGAGTTCCGTAGAGTCTTGTGGGAGATTTAAGTGCGGGAAAAATAGACAATTTGAATGGTAACAGTTCACGTGAGTGAGTCCCAGCTCGAGAGCTATGATTTGAGTAAGGATTCTTCTAAGGCGATTTCCACAGGCCATCAGAGTTCTGCTCGGAAGCCTCAGGCAGCACAGATCAGCCCTGGCGTGGGTTTTGTGCACCTCCTTGCAGCCCGGAAGGAATCAACATCTTAGTTATGCTCTTTTGCCCCGTGGAGATGAAGGGAATTATGGGTGTAAACGTTACACATCTGCAATTAGAAATAAGATCATTTTATCCTTTTTTCTTCCCAATAACTTTAGGGGAACTGTGGGAAAGAGAAGGTACTATTTTTAAGACTTTACTTGCTTCAAGGTATCCGAAATTACCACAGTGGAAATGGTGAAGAGGCTCGTGAGTATCTCAACAAGGTAAGAAAGTGGATGCCCCAAAGGGTAACCATTTTCACCTTTTTTTTTTTTTTCCATCCTGAAAAGTTGTCTTTCGTGAACTCAGCCGTTTGTGACTGTGAGGGACATGCATCTGTCTCCCGTGCTCTCTGCCCCATGTGTACCGTAAACGGCATACTTGTATCTGCTAGGGAATAGGTGAGATGCTGTAAGAAGGAAACCTCAGGACAGTGGCTGTGATTGGCTAGAAGTTTCCATGCCTGTATTCTGGCAGCAGAGAGCTGAGCAGGCCAGGTCAGCAGAGCAGTTCCCCCAGCCTGTGTGCAGCAGGCAAGGACACGCCTGTCAGTCCCCTTCCAGCCAGCAGAGGGGGCGAGAGAGAGCGAGCGAGCAAGCAAGAGCGAGAGCACAGGCGCACCCAGGGCGGGCTGGGAAGGACCCAAAGTTGAGGCTGTCATGCCTGCTACCTGCCGCTGGCCTACACTTAACCACCTTGCTACACCCAGTTGCAGGAGAGGGTGAGAAATGCCGTGTGCACAGCTCAGATTCAGGGGATTTGATAAAAAAACGGGGGAGATGGTGGCTACCAGCCCCTCCCATCCTACTCCAAGGCCCGTTTCCTTCTGTTACCTCCGGTACATGACATGCGTAGAGTGAGATCTGTGTTCCACTCGAGCCAGGTGATAACAGGTGGAGTTCAGACACCCTCGTTCGCGTACGGTACGAGCATGTTTTCTTCAGGCTCCAGCTTTGTGTTCAGTTTCAGCGTTACGTTTAATGATTCGTGTGTTTTTTCCCTTGTCTGTAGGCACGTCAGCTCTTTAAAGAGCTGTATATCGATCCATCAAAAGTTCACAATCTGTTGCAGTTGGGATTTACCGCCCAGGAGGCCCGGCTCGGCCTGAGGGCGTGTGAGGGGAACGTGGACCACGCCGCTGCCCACATCACCAACCGCAGAGAGGTACCTTAACGCGGGCTCGGCGACACCGGGTCTTGGCTGTGGCACAGGCGTGAAACTTGAGGCGACAGTAAGCCTGCTTCCAAAACGCTGTCGCTCTTGGATTTGAAAGAAGGAAAAAAGATTGTTCCACAGTAGTCGTTAATACCAGGGGCTCTTTAGACTTCAGACAGAAAAGAAACAGGAGACACTTGTCCTATTTACTTGAATTAGTTTTCAGGCAGTGTGGGTTCCTCAGTTTCACTTTCTGCTGCTGTGGCTCATAAGTACATTGCCCAGGTAGCCTGTCTGTGCATGCGCGAGCATGAATGCACTCCCTCTCTCTCCTTTCCCATGGTAGATTTCTGGAAACCAGTTTAAAGGGGGCCTCTGTTTTCCCACAGAGCCGTTGCTGTAGTTGGGGATGGCGTTCTTAGCTAGAAACGTGAGTCAGGTTATAGGAGCAGTGAACATTATGAAAGCAAAGGTACAAAACTATAATCCTTTGAAACGACTCCAAGTCAATAGATCTCAAGATCAGTAGATGTTGGCATTGGAGGGCATGTTACTGTGTCTAATATGCTAGTTTAATAGTAAAAGAGCTGAGGTCCAGAGAGAGTTAATGATGAGATACTGAGAAGTAGGACCACTGTTTTTCTCTAAAATAAGAAGTCGGTACCGATTTTCTCACAGGTCCTTTCTAGCTGTAAACTCCAACCCTGGAAGTCTTTAGAAATCTTCTCATGTATGTAGTCTCTTTTCTTCTCTCTTTGCTGACCCACCAGAGTGGTCCTGAGGCGGGAAAGCCGCTTGAAAGGGTGTGTGGACGAGGTCAGGCAAGCTCTGTGTGGTCCCTGGCTGCCTGGTGCCAGAGCCAGAGCGCATCCGTGGGCCGCACGCAGCAGCCGGTCCGAAGGGCCGTTCGGGCTTCGGCGTTTAAGGCCCCAGTCGTTGGCTACCTTTCTGTCTGCCTGTCGGCCTGACGGCTCTCCTAATCGCAGGCCACTGGGTCTTGCCGTAGAAGTCAGTGAGTAGGTAAAGGCAGCGACTTGGAAAAGTGTTGTGTGTTTGCACTTTACGTAGTCTTAGTACTGGGGTGCAGCCCTTCCTGGGGCTCCTTGGGGCTGCTCCTGGGTACAGGCTGGTTTCCTGTGGGGCCGAAGAAGCAGAAGCCGAGGTGGCCGCGGTGTTGAGGGGCTGGGAGAGGCGGACATCCCCGGTCCCTGGGGCCCGCTCCCCCTTCAGGCTGGCCGGGACAGCCACCAGAGGAAGCAGTGCTCAGTGCTCGCTGTCCTGTGGTCGGTCCCCTTTACCTCTCCCGTTTCTAGTATAGAGAGAAACGTCAGGAAAAATGCTTTCCCTCTTGTGTGTCAACATGAATAGAAGCTGGTATAGACATTTCTAATTAAAGAAATGGAAGTCTTTGGGGCTCCCACTTTGTGTCAGATCCGGGTGCCACGAGCCCTGTGTCTGCCACTGGTAGCATCTTGCTCTGGGTTTCAATGTCATACACGTTTCATTTTTTTTATTTTTTTAATTTTTTAATTTTTTTAATGTTTTATTTATTTTTAGGAGAGAGAGAGGAAGAGAGACAGCGTGAGCAGGGGAGGGTCAGAGAGAGAGGGAGTCACAGACTGAAACAGGCTCCAGGCTCTGAGCTGGCAGTCAGCACAGAGCCCGACGCGGGGCTCGAACCCATGAACCGCGAGATCATGACCTAAGCGAAAGTCGGACACTTAACCAACTAAGCCACCCAGGCGCCCCACGTTTCATTTTTTTAAGCATTTATTTTTTAGACAGAGACAGTGTGAGCAGAGGAGGGGCAGAGAGAGACACAGAATCAGAAGCAGGTTGCAGGCTCTGAGCTGTCAGCACAGAGCCCAACGCGGGGCTTGAACTCATGACCTGTGAGATCACGACCTGAGCTAAAGTTGGACGCCCAACCGACTGAGCCACCCAGGTGCCCCTGCACATTTCTTAGCCCTTTGAAACACGAGTAGAAGTAGTGGAAATCGGAGGCGGAGGAGGGGGCAGGGTAAAGGCAGTTAGGTGGCAGGCAGGTGCAAACAGAGGCCGAAGCATGAGTGCTGCGGAGCCCCTTTGCCAGCTTGTGTGCTTGTATGGATGGGGGGGGGTTGCAGCTTGGAGACGCAGGGCTGGGGTGCGGAGGAAGGGGCACCTGGTCGGGTGAGGTTCAGAGGAGGGGTGAGTGAAAAGGCCCAGCCTCTGCCTGTGCAGGGACTGAGGGGCAGTGCTGGGGAGGGTTTGGTTCTGGATGAACAGAAGTTGGGGGGGGTGGCCCTGCCGCGCAGGATGCTCACCAGCGTGTGGGGTTTGAAGCAGGAATTTAGCCTAAGGATGCCTTCTTCGCTGGGCGTGTCCCAGGCAGTCCCTCCCCAGATTCAGACCCCTTTCTTCCTGAGATGAGGTCACGCCCCCCCCCACCCCCCACCATGTGCAAGAAGATGGGGGGTGCTTGTTGCTTGGGGTGAGCCACAGAGGTAGGAACAGACCCAACAGAGGAGGAAAAGCCGTTTTCTCTGCTGTTCTCTCTGCGTCGGGTGAGAACCGACCACGTCCAGGACCGTGCAGAAGCAGCCCCATCCCAGCTGTGAGGTCAGCCGTGACCCTGGCCCGCAGGCCGCTTAACTCTCTTTATAGGTTTTCTGTCTTCTCATTGGCAAAATGATGAGGTTGGATTAGATTAGTGCTTTTCAAAGTTGTTTTGGCTTGTTTGGTTTTCTGTCAGCAAAATCCCTTTTTTAAAAATTACATTTGTTTTTAAAACAAATTCTGAACTCTTGAGATCGGGGCTGGGATGGGAGAGACGAGGCTACACCTCCCCACAGCCCTTCTCAGACTCTTGCAGCGACAGGAGGCACTTCTGAGACTCAGGGTCAGGAACTGTGGGATTAGCTGACCTTTGTCACCTGACACTGAACATTCTGGAGGTTCTGAAGAGGCTACTAGGCCCCAGGAGGCAGCTGAGTCCCTGCTGCCGGGAGTGGGGAGCGCAGGTCTGCAGTTTGCGGTCACCCGGGACCCTGCCCCCAGCCCCCATTCAGAGTCCACCGTTTTAACAAGATCCCCAGGGATCAATCGGGCCAGGACCGCATCCCCCCCACCCCCGGGGGTCTGCCCGCTTCTCTGGCCTAGCGGCCAGCTGCTCCCTGGCCCTGAGTGGCCTCTTTTAGTCAGGGTGCTGGTGACTGAGAGCGTTACCTTCTGGCCCAGTCGGAGGTGTCCTGCCCCCACGGGCCCTGCCCCGGGGCACCGCGTGGCCTCTGACCTGAGGCCCTCATGCTCTTGATGGGGTGGGGATTGCAGAGAGCGGTTCCCTCCCCTTCGCTGCACACTCGCCTCCACCCCAGGAAGAGCGTCCTGAGCGGTCTCCCTGCAGACCCCAGCCCCCAACTTGGTGACTTTGCTGTTTTCCTAAAGGAACTGGCCCAAATCAGGAAAGAGGAAAAAGAGAAGAAAAGACGCCGGCTGGAGAACATAAACTCGTTGAAAGGAATGGGCTACTCCACTCACGCGGCCAAGCAGGCCCTGCACCAGGCCAGCGGGAACCTGGACGAAGCCCTGAAGGTGGGTGACCCTGGGCCTCTCGGCCTGCCCCGCCCTCCCCTGACCTCCTCTCAGCATCCTCCCCCAGTGCCCCGTCCTCCCCGACCTCCCCTCCCCCGTCCTCCCCTCCCCCGTCCTCCCGCATGGAGCCCTCCTCCCAGTCCTGAGAGGTGTGGTGCTCAGGGTCCGTTCTCATTCTCACCGGGCCAGAATGACAGACCCCACCACAGTGTCTGTCACTGTTCGGCAGAGCCCCCGGGCGGGACTCCGCATAAGGTTTCTGTTTGCGGCACCGTGAGTTGGCACTGACGGGCAGGAAGGGGCCTGTGATGAAAGCCTCAGTGTGGTTTTGTTTTCATTAAAACCTTTTATCTGAATATCGTCTTATTTCTTGGTTTAGTCAGTGCACACTGACCTCCGGGAGTCACGGCGTACTGGGAGACGGAACACAGTAGAGTCCAGGCCCCGGGTGCCAGCACAGCCATGGGGGGCAGGGCTGCAGCCGCCTCGCGGGGGATCACGCCCACGGGGGCACCTCTCCGGCAGATGAGGGGCGCCTTGAGGGGAGCAGGAGCCCCGGGGAGCTGCCGGGGTTGCGCTCACTGGAGGCGGGGGCGGTGGGGCCAGGCGTCACCTTGTTGGCCCTGCGGAGGAGTTCGTGCTGGGCGGAGCGGGCGGGGGGTGGCCGCCTGCCCTTGCCTTCCGCTCTCAAGACCTGTCCGTCCCGCAGCAGGCTGCACGAGTAGATGTTTACGTGTAGAAATCTCTAAATGAACGTGAGCATCCAGTTTGGCTTCCTGTGTCGGAGAGAGAGAAGAGGGGACTTTCCCGAGGTGCACAGGACTGATGGGCCACAGTGCGGCGAATGCCCCACCCTGCACGGGCATGTGCCGCCAGCCCGGAACATTCCCAGGGGGGTTTAAGGTTAAGAGTGAGCACTGACATGAAAACCAGGGGTCAAAACTGTGCTATTCTCCTTGACGTTGGAAATCTAGCTCATGACAGTTTCCAAAGAGAAATGACGCCGGTCAGCCGCGAACTGCCTGAGGAGCGCTGGTGTGCGGAGCCCAGCACAGCGGCTGTGTCTTCCCACCCGCTCTCCCGTCCCTTCCCGCCTCCTCATCAGGGACCTCCTGCCCGGCTAGTCCTGCTCATCTTTCCCGATGTTCCTTCAGCAGGAAGCCTTTGATCCCCAGCAGCCCCGCCCCGCGTCCGGGCCCCCTTTCCCTGCTTCCTCGGCAGCTTGGCGGGGTCCCACCGCTGGTCCCACGGCAGTGCCCCGGCCTCGTGTGCTGGCGTGTCCTCTGGCCGTGTCTGCCCAGCGCACAACAGGGGCTTAGTCTGCCTACGCGAGCAGGCGTCAGTGACGAATACGGGGTGTCCCTGTGCTTTCAGATTCTTCTCAGCAATCCTCACATGTGGTGGTTGAACGATTTAGATCCTGAAACCAACAACCATCGGGAAAGTCCTTCCCAGGAACACATCGACCAAGTGAGTGAGAACGTAGCTGCGCCCCTCCGGCTGCACAGCCCTGCAGGGGGCTCCTTGGGGGCACGGGGCTCGAGGTGCGACGCAGGCCCACCCCGGGAGGCCGGCCAGGCGGCGGCAGTTGCAGTGGGTGGAGTTGGGAGCAGAGGGCATTTCCTCCGAGGGTAGGCTTTTCTCCCCGCGCGCGAGTATGGTACTTCACACACCGACTACGCCGCCTTCAGCCCGTTTCTCTGCCTGTGACCTGAACAGATGGTCCCGCCTTTCTGAGGCGCCTGCGCACTGGTGCGTTTGCCCCAGGTCTTCCTCGGTCCCTTCCAGCCGGCCTCGTGTGCACACTGGTGCTGAGGAGGGGCGCGCACAGTAGGGCCAGTGCCGTGCGCGCTGTGGGTTTAGACCGGTGTTCCCTCTCAGGCTGTCCTAGCTGGGCGGGGGGCCAGGCAGGAGCATCGGGCGGGTGTCGGCTCCGTGAGGCCCAGACCGGCGGCCACCACCTCCCCCGCGCTCTCCCTTAGCTTGTCTACATGGGCTTTGATGCGGTGGCAGCCGACACAGCGCTGAGGGTGTTCAGGGGGAACGTCCAGCTGGCGGCTCAGACCCTTGCCCACAACGGAGGAAGCCTCCCTCCCGACCTGCAGCTCGCGGCCGAAGACTCCTCGCCGACACCGTCCACGTCCCCTTCGGATTCCGCAGGTAGGTCTGAGGTCTCCCATGACCACTTGGGTGCGGCCTGCTAACCGGAACCTGATGGGGGAGGGGTGTGCGGGGGCTGATGTGACCCCCACAGCCCCCCTCCCAGGGCACAGGCCCTGGTCCCTCTGTGGGCTGCCTGGAGGGCACGGCCAGGCTTGGTGGAGGTTGCCGTGGGTCCCATCCAGCCTTCTGTGGCATTTTCTTCTCTTTCTGTTCTCTCCCTCACCTCGCTTCACCTCACCCATCCCTGCACCCCTCCGCTGCCCCTCACCTCGCCCATCCCTGTACCCCTCCATCACCCCTCACCTCACCCATCCCTGCACCCCTCTCCTTGCCCATCCCCTCTCCCTCCCCCGCCCCTCACCCCGCCCATCCCCGCTCCCTCCACTGCAGGTGCCTCTAGTGCCTCAACAGATGAAGATATGGAGACAGAGGCTGTCAATGAGATACTGGAAGATATTCCAGAACACGAAGAAGATTATCTTGACTCAACTCTGGAAGATGAAGAAATTATTATTGCAGAGTACTTATCCTATGTAGAAAATATAAAGTCGGCAACAAAAGCGGAATAATGGGCAGAAACAAGCACTGAGTTTCTGCTTATAAATTCTATCATTATGAAAAGTCGAATGCAGGCCTTCTTTTTTTTCCTTATTTTCATCTGATTTTGCTCCAAGAGTGCTTCCTACTTGGGCAGAGGAGGGGCGGGGGCCGGGAAGGGCCAGCCGTGAAGGTGAGAGGACACTGGGGGGTGGGGAGGGGGCGGGGCGCTGGTCCCCAGGGCTGATCTCGGGGAAGGAGCAGCCTCTGGCCCAAGCTTGTGCTTCCCGCTGCCCTCACATTCTGCAGCCCTGACACTGTCTTGCCTGCTCGGTTTCTTTTTACCCGGAGGTGGGAAGGGCACTTAGTTCCGGAGAACAGGGTGGCCCCTGGGAAGGTCTCCAGGAAGAGCTAACGGGAGGGAAAGCGTCCAGAGCCATCTCCATTTTGCCCGGCCCTCCTGCCCTCCTCAGCTCCCCGCTGATCCGTCTCCCCGTCCGTCCGTCTCCCCGTCGGGCGGCTCTGCTTTCCAGCTTCAGCCTCAGCGCCCCTTCCCCAAAACGTCCTTCAAATCTTCATTCCCAGCGCCCTGGGGGCCTAGAGAGGAGGCCGCAACACAGTAGCAGCCGCAACACAGTAGCAGCCACACCGGATTGTGGCAGATGGAAATCCGCACTCTGCTCTTAGTTTAGTAAAATGCGCACTTGCAGTTCAAGGTTGAAGTTGAGAATTTATAGATGGACACAATTCTTCTTTATAAAAATAAAATCTTTTATTAAACGGGAAAGTCTTTAAATGCTGACCAAAGCAACTTGTTTGTAATTAGCATTTTCAGATGCTGTGCGTCACGTTAACCTCGCTGCTGGCTGAGATGCCTGTCAGAGACTGTTAGGGTCTCTTTTCTCCAGGGTGGTGGGTTTCGTTGGTAGATCTGCGACACAGGACTGTTTCTGAAGATGCGTAGTTGGCGTCTCACTGCGCCGCGCATTCGCCGGTAGTCGTGGAGGAGAGGAAAAGCTGGTCCAGCACCAGGATGCAGCCGGCAGCAGCCATGCGCCGACTCACATGCCACGTGTGCTCCTACCCCTCTCCTGCCCCTCCGGAAGTCTCTGGAAACGCCTGTGACCGTGGACAGACGGGTCACCTCACCGCCATCGACGGGCTGGTGGAACTGCTGCTTCTTCACCAATCACATTCGCAAAGCTCGGACAGCCGTCCAGGTTGGGTGGGTGGGAATCTTTTGTGTCATTCTTTTCAAACGGATGGTACACATGGAAATAAAAGGTGAAAACGTATTCAAAACTTGTCGGCCTAACTTTGCAATAAGTTGCTCAAACTCCCCCCTAAACTGCCCTACGTGCTGCAGACGTCTGGGCGGCTGGAGCTTCCCTGAGATTCGAGGTGTTTGCCGCCACTTAGGTCTGAAGAAATCAAAAGCAACATCGATGTCTTCTAAAAGATGGACCTGTCCAGAGCAGGGCTGGGGCTGGCGGTGGGGAAGACGAAGCAGGAGGGAGGGGGGCTTGTGCTGTCTGCGTCGAGTGGCCGACAGCCGAGATGGGGGGGGTCTCTCGCCCTCGATTGTGACCATGTCTTACCCGGATTTTGGGTCTGAATTGTGGCTTTTGGCCAACTGGTTACCGTCCTGGCCTTGGCCACACATGGCTTCTAGCTTCCCAGATGCTCTTTCAATGGTCAGAAACAGGCCAGGGAAGCAGAGCCACGCTGACAGGGCTGGGACCTGGCTTCACTTTCTCACGAAGAGATGCAGAAAAGCCAGTTCTCGAGTGAGGGGCCGTCCTGGGTACACACCACGTAAGGAGGGTGGCCCATCTGGAACTGGGGGGCAGGGTCTGGTCCTGGCTCTGCCTCCAGCTGGTATGTGAAACTAGACCGACAGTGCCTGAGTGCCACTCCCTGCTCTGGAGCGCAAGAGAAGCAGCCAAGGGCATCTGTGATAAAAATTTGTCCCCAAGTCGCCAGGAGTGTGGTGAGGCTGGCAGAGCCACAGAAGAGGTGGGCTTTGGAGGGGCTCTCCTGGGAGAGTCAGAGAAGGGAGAACATTCTAGACCTGGGATGAGTGAGGAGGTAGCACAGGCCAAGTGTGCCATATTCATGAGGTCACAGCCATTCTAGACCCACCAGAGGGTGGACTGGTAGCAGAGAACGAGGTTGGAAGCGCCCTGAACGGCAGGCAGGGGGCCGAGATTTGAGGGGTCGGATACCCAGGCCATTAGAGGTTCGAGGACTCCGGGCAGGAGCGGGTTGCAGGCGCACGTAAGGTAAACGCACTGCGCTCACCACATCCCGCTCATCCTTCTGTGAAATTCCACCTGCCCTTGGCTTTGGTGATCCCTCCGTGTCCTGTCCCTGTGTCCTGCCCCTGTGTCCCTGAGTACTTCCGTCCTTCCTCCCCTATCCAACATTATTTATCAAAGGCAGAGAATACCTGGTTATCTGGTCTTTACATCCTCAACATCTAGCCAAACTGTGATGGAGAAACACAAATTCCTCAAGTATATTCCACGACGTAAATCCAAGCCGGCCGCGTTCCACTCCCTGCTCTGTCCCGGAGAGGCGGGCGGGAGAACAAAACCGCAGCCGCTCCTGTTTTCCAGTCTGCACCCAGGGGCAGTTTCTCTGCGGATATCACAGCTTGTGTGCTTCAGTCTCTGTTACAGATGGACAGGACGGGGGAGCGTGGGATGGGACCCGAGACGACGCAGGAGCGAAAGCTGTAGACACGGGAACACAGCACCGGCTGTGTGCATCGCGGGTGACTCGAGCCGCCTCTCCGTCAGCAGCGTAGGGACACTGGCACAGGCGCCGGAGGTGGTTCCCCTGCCCTCCCTGAAATGCACCTCAGCTCCCTGGGAGGCTCCCGTGGCGGGCATGCCCCGCAGCCACAGCTGTGGGCACCAGAGGACTGCTACGGAGTGAGGGCCAGACTCAGAGGGCGGCAGGCGCAGAGCCCACGCTCCTACTGTGGGCTCTGAGTCCCACCCACAGAACACCCAACGCTGCTGCATGTTCTCAAGGGCAAGGCTGTTTTCCTGCGGAGCCGCCTGGGCTCCCAGGGCTTGGGGGTGTGGCCTAGAGCATAATCATAAAGGTAGGGGCCCTTCCTCCTGCACACCCACGCACGGGACCCGGACCTGGACGCCCTGGGGAGCATGCATCCTGTGTCCTGCAGCACATCTTGCTGATAATACACCTCTTGCATTAACACGACGGAGTGCCCGCACCTCTGCGTGGAGGGATGCCGCTGCATGAAGGCGGCTTCTGTCCCCCGGCGAGAGGTTGAGCTCTCAACCACAGACACCGCCAGGCAGCATGTGCTGCACCAGGGACCCGCCAGGGCCCGGAACAGCGAGCACTGTGGACGCGGAGAGCAGGCACCAGCCACAGGCTGGCACAGCGGCCCCTTCAGGTGATGAGAAGGGCGGCTGGGGGCAGCGCCCCTCAGAGCCTGGGCCGCCACTCTTCCCCTTACACCCCTCCAGCCCTCACCATGCAGAGCAGTGAGCGGCTCCCACCTCAGGCTTTCTACTCCAGACCGGAGGGAAGAGGCCCTCCTCCATTCAGGCAGAGTTGGGAGCTCCAAAGCAGGGGTGACGCAGCCCCGTTGCCACCTGCACAGGCCAAAGGGCCGGGTCCTTGCTCCCTGGCCTCTCCCCTCACAAGTGACCCCGTAGGGGCCATCAGGCCGCAGCCCCTCACTTCGCCCCGAGGAGGGGCAGGCCCAGGCCGGCTGAGCCCCCCTGGCTCTGGGAACCCCCTCCTCCCTCTGAGAGGCAGCTGAGAGCCTGGAGAACAAAAGACACATTCCCGGGCACTTTGAAAGACATATATTTCGGTTTTTCACTAGTGCCAAGACTAATTTGCCAAACTAATGACAACTGCGGCTCAATGGCTTTTTGAAGAAATCCCCGTCTCCTCCCAGGAAAGGCTTGGCTTCTAGGGACCTCTGCGGGGCCGCAAACCCTGGGTCGGGAGGGTCCCCCGGGCCAGAGGCGCAGACCTGAGTGCGGGGGGCCACTCGGCCGCGGGGGGCGCGGTGAGGGTCAGGCCGGAGGGGGTGGGGACGGAGCCTCTGTGCCCGAGGACGAGCACGGTCCCCCTCCACGGGACGGGGCTTCACAAATCCACGGACACAGAGGACGGGCAGCGCCCACTGCCCGGGTCGCGGGCGGGGGTCCGTTGGTCCGCCGGCGGGGGGGCCTCAGGCCGGCTGCAGGGGAGCGGCGGCGCAGCCCACTTTGTTGCTGAAGAGGCGGGAGCGGCCGCGCGCGGGGGCGGCGGCGCGCGGCGGCGGCGGCGCGCACGGGAGGCCGCGCACGTCCCAGAGGCGCAGCGCGCCGTCGTGCGAGGCCGTGTAGAGCACCTGGCCGTGCACCTGCGGGCGCGGGGCGGCGCGTGGGAGGCGCTGCGGGGGGCGCCGGGCCCGCCCTCCCGCCGCGGCCCCAAACGGCACCGACCTCGCCAGGGGAGCCCGGCCCTCGGGGCGCCAGGGTCGGGGTGTGGAGGGGAAGGGGCGGCCTCCCCTCCCCACCGAGCCAGCCAGCCGGGCACGCCCTGGCTCAAAGCCCGGGAGGGAGCCTGGCGGCAGCGCCTACCTGGATGCAGTTGATGACGAAGGCGTGACCGCGGAACACCCTCTGCAGCGCTCCGGACTCGGCATCGAAGGCGCGCGCGCGGGCGTCCCCGCTGCCCGTGAACACTGCGAACACAGGGCCACGCTGCCTCCAACCCCGCCGGGCGCCGCCGGGAGGGGCGGGGCCAGCGACGCCCATCCGCCCGCCTTTCAGGGATGCCCTAGGTTCAAATAGGAACTAGCAGAAACCCCTCGAAAGGAGGGCACCTTCATTACCCTACTGCGTGCCTGGGAATTCAGGGTGGCCACGAGCACCACACCCCCTCCTCGCTTCGGAGCCAGATCCGCAGGACCGCGGCTGCTGAACCTTCCTTGGGCTTCAGGGCCTGCCTGCGCCGCCGTCTCAGGGGCTCCTACTCCGCCTGAGTACCTAACACCTCTCAGGCCATTTGGTGGAAGCCTTTTAAGTCTTCAGTGAGGCTTGGCTTCCCAGCTCTAAGCCCCTGCCTCGGGGTGGGGGCGGTCATCCACCCTGAGCAGCCTCCCCTTCCTCAGTGATGTCTCTTTGTCCTGTCTCTCTCTCCAAAATAACCCTGATTAATCCTGGAAGCAATATCCCAAATAAGAAATTTTATTATTCAGTCCTTCCTGCAGCTGTGGTCAAGGAGGTATAGGCAGAGACTTTGGGTAGGGCTTCCAAGAGAGATCTTTTCTTTTAATGTTTATTTTTGAGAGAGAGAGGGAGACACAGAATCGGAAGCAGGCTCCAGGTTCTAAGCTGTCAGCACGAAGCCCAATGCGGGGCTCGAACTCACAAACTCCTATATCATGACCTGAGCTGAAGTTGGCTGCTTAACCACCCAGGTGGCCCTAAGAAAGATCTTTAAAGCGACCTACTCAGCTGGAGCACCTGGGTGGCTCAGTCGGTTAAGCATCTGACTCTTGACTTTTGGCTCAGGTCATGATCTCACGTTTCGTGGGTTTGAGCCCCTTGTTGGGCTCACACTGACAATGAGGAGTCTGCTTGGGATTCTCTCTTCCTCTGTCTCTCTGCCCCTCCCCTGCTCATGCACGCACACTCTCTGTCTCTCTCAAAATAAATAAACTTTAAAAAAGAAAAAAGGACCTACTCAGCTAAGAGATGCATCCTTCTGCCCTTCCCCCTTCTTCCTGTCTGCCTAAAACATAACATGATGGCTGGAGCTCCAGCAGCTATCTTAAACCATGAGGCCCCCTAAAGGATAGAAGATACATGCTAAGGGTGATGTGCAAAGTGATGAAAGGAAACTGGGTGCCTGATTAACTTTGTGGAACTGTCAATCCCCCTCTACACTGCCAGCCTCTGAAATTGTACCTGAGAAAAATAAACCACTATTTCATTTAAAGCACTGTTATCTGGGCTCTTGTCTGTAGTCAAAGGTGACCTAATGCCAGGTGACCCCAAATGCACGTGGCCCTCACGTCTGGCTGAAGTAAGGAGTGTCTGTCTCATTTCGGGAATTAGAATGTGTCCATGAGGCAGTGCTCTTAACCCCGGGACTTCCGAACATTCCGGCTGCTGCACCTTCTTGTGGGGGGCAGGTGGGGAGGGATCCCCATGCCCTGGTTTGGACCTCCTTTGAAAATAACACCGTTGGCAGTGTACATGGAGGCGGGGCTGCTGGACTGGCCGCTGAGGCTCAAGAGAACAGTTGAGTAAGAAGTAGAGAAGCAGAGAGGCCCTGAGTGAGGATTTGGTAGGGGCGAGGAGTGGAGGGCACAGGCGGGTTGCGGCCGCGTGGGGACAGCCGGGACAAGAGTCACTTACAGGTGCCTGCGTGGTATTTGAGGGCGCTCACGCTGTGTCCGTGGGCTGCAAACGTGCGCACACGCTCCCCCGTGTCTGCCAGCCAGCACTTGACCGTCCTGTCCGCGCTGCCCGAGTACACGTGCCGGTTCACGAGCTGGGGTTGGGGAGGAAGGGAGGGCGACTCAGCGGCCCCCTCCGAATCGCTCTGGGTAACGGGGGAGGGGTATGTGCGGGCCTCACCGGAAACAGGATGGGCAGGAAGTGGCCCAGCCTGTGGGACCCACCCCACCGCCCACTCCAGCGCCCAAGAATCTTGTCACTTTGCCCTGGGCCAAGTCACTGGCTCGCACCAGGACCACGAACTGTTCGCAACGTTGTTATTCCGGCTACAGCCGTTCCCTACGGAGGAGCAGGTAAGGGCCTGGGAAGGTCAGCGTGAATCCACCTGCAGCCCCAGGTGTTCCCGGCCCGGAACGGGCTCCGGGGGCAGGGCTCTCACTCTGCACATTTGCACGCAGAAATGCAAAAAGAGAAAGGTCTAGAAGTAACTTGACTGGCCACAGTGTGTCCGAGGTAGATCTTTGCTAGGACCAGAGCTGGACACCCAGGGGCCGTCACTGGGTCCTGACTTCCTGCCCCTGGGGCCGCCCTGGAGGGGAGGGAGGAGGCCCTGGAGACAGGCTTCCCCACTTCCCGGTGCCCCAGCTCTCACTGGAGTGGCGTTCACGGCCCTGCTTGGTGTGGTGGGAGGTACGGAAAGGGCCTGGGACAGAAGAGAAGGGGCTTGGGGGGGCCCCCTCACAGGAGCAACCCTTTGCCAAGATGGCGTCCTGTCCCGAGAGAAGTGCAGACTGTTCAGATAATCATGCAGGTTCCGGGGGCGCCTGGGTAGCTTAGTCGGTTAAGCGTCCGACTTTCGCTTAGGTCATGATCTCGCGGTTCGTGGGTTCGAGCCCTGCGTCGGGCTCTGTGCTACCAGCTCAGAGCCTGGAGCCTGTTTCAGAGTCTGTCACTCCCTCTCTCTCTGACCCTCCCCTGTTCACGCTGTCTCTCTCTCTCTCTCTCTCTCTCCTAGAAATAACTAAAACATTAAAAAAAATCAATTAGGGGCACCTGGGTGGCTTAGTCGGTTAAGCGTCCGACTTTCGCTTAGGTCATGATCTCGCGGTTCGTGGGTTCGAGCCCCGCGTCGGGCTCTGTGCTGACTGCCAGCTCAGAGCCTGGAGCCTGTTTCAGTCTGTGACTCCCTCTCTCTCTGACCCTCCCCTGCTCACGCTGTCTCTCCCTCTCTCTCTCCTAGAAATAAATAAAACATTAAAAAAAAAAAATCATGCAGGTTCCATGAGGCGCGGCGATGCGAGGAGGGCAGGCGCTAAGCCCCAGGGAGAGCTAGCTGTTCGTGGCCGTGCTGGGGGGCCCAGAGACCCCCGGAAGCTTAGGAAAGATGAGGCCCTTCTCCCGGGGCAGCAGGCAGCCGGCTGGAGCACGGGCGGGCTGGCCACCAGCATCCTCCGGGTGCCCCGCGCCCTCCTCCTGGCCACACCTGCCCGGGACCGCCACACTCTGGGCCGCCTCCCACTCCGGTTCCCACGGCTGACCCGCTTTCCGCGTCTCATCCCCTGGTTTAAATTGGAGGACAAGACTCTCGAGACTCTCGCTAGGCCAGGTCATAGCTCCGTCCGCAGCCACGGCGCCGGTCACACCTGTCTTCGGGCCATTGCTGCGGCCCGGGCGGTGGGGGGGTGGGGGTGGGGGCTGCAGCTGCTTTCCGGAGGACGCAAGTGGGAGACAGACATGCGGTCCTGCCTCGGCCCTGCCTTCCGGTCCTAACGGTTTACGACTGGCCCCGGCCACCGAGCCTGACTCCTGGCCTCTCTTATTGGTGGTCATCACTCGGTCTTTTCCCATCCGCAGCCCCACCTCCAGGGGCCCGGGGCCCGCCCATCCACAAGGGCGGGGACAGGAAAGAGGGTCTTCCCAAGCCTGCCTGGTTCCCCCGGCCTGAGGCCGGAGCCCATGGGCACCCGGTGCTCACTGTCCCCCCGAGGGCCCTAGGCACATGCCACCTGCCCCAAGTCCTCTCTGCCCTAAAAGCGCCCCAGCGCCGATCCGTCCTCTTCCTCTGCGGCCAGGCCGCCCCCACGGTGCCTGCACCCTGCCTGGTGTTTCCCCACCGCCCCCAGCACCTGTCACTCCAGGGGCAGCCCCAGGCCCACCGCGGGTCGCTGAGACCCCGTGCCGCCAGGGCAGGGGGAGGACACCTCCTGCTCCCCACGGAGGGTCCCCAACAACGCAGGGCCTGGCGCACTGGGTTTAAACGTGACCACGTGGCGCAAGTTCAAGGCACACACTGGAGGCCAAGGAAATGCTCTGAGCGTGTTGTCCTTGGCTGCCTGGGGCCTCGCTGTTCCCTTCGGCCGCTTCCCGAGGGGACGCCCCGCCGGTAACAGCAGGCCAGCGTGGGGAGGCCGGGGAGGCCCGAGGCAGGTGGGGGGGCGGCACACAGACCCTGACAGGGGCCTCTCACAAAGGACGGGTCCTGCAAGACTTCCCTCAGCCGAGGAGGCTCTGAGGGGACGGGGCCCCACGGGCTGCATCCCTGCCACGTGACCCGCCCAAAAGACGGCAGGGTGAGGCGTGGGGCCCAGGACTCTGCCGTGGAGGCCCCGGGAGGGTGCACACCTCCCCCCCACCCCCCAGCTCACAGCAGCAGGTGCGCAGGGGAAGAGGAGCCGCCGGGCCAGGCTGCAGGGCGCAGCTCGGGAAAAGTGCCAGAAGGGGCTACCCGACTCCACCCCGGTTCAGGCCCCATCACACCTTTATAAGCTGCCGATCACAAGTACAGGTGACGTGCTCAGTCCCAGGTACCGATCCACCTCGGCCCCTTACCAGCTGTGAGGTGTCAGGCAAGGTGCCGACCTTCTCTGAGCCTCTGCCCTCTCATGTGCGCAAAGAGAATATATAAGCTCAGGCAGCATGTCTGTGAGATGAACAGGCAGCAGCTGTAGGATGACCGGAGAGGCGCCCAGAACAATCTATGCAGCGGGCACTGTGCCGAGTCTGCCGCTAACCATCAGATCCTCCCCGCCACCGGGGGTGGGCACGACTTCATACGCAGAAGCCCTGAGCCAAAATGTTGGGGCGGGATGGGTTTCAGGAGCTTTCGGATTTTAGCAACTCGCTCCTGTCTACAGCAGAAAGGAGGCATATGGCCAGGAAGGGGGAAAAGTGAATCGCAAGTAGCCTCTTAGCCGTCCAGGCTTTGCCGCCAAGTACATTTTGATGCCGAGCCTAAACTTTTAAAGAAGCCTTCATGTTTTGGAACTTTCGGATTTAGGGATTATGGGCCGGGGCTTGTGGGTTTGTGGACATAATCCTCACTTAACATGTAAACCCTAGTATCTGTGAACGTGATTGTATCTGGGGACACAGTCTTGAAGGAGGTGAAAATGAATTCATTAGGGTGGGAATCTCATCTGGAAGGACTGGCATCCTTATAAGAAGAGGAATTCTGGGGGAGCCTGAGTGGCTCAGTCAGTTAGGCATCCGACTTTGGGTCAGGTCATGATCTCACGGTTCGTGGGTTCCAGCCCTAAGTCGGGCTCTGTGCTGATAGCTCAGAGCCTGGAGCCTGTTTTGGATTCTGTGTCTCCCTCTCTCTCTCTGACCCTCCCCTGCTCTCACTGTCTTTCTCTCTCAGAAATAAAGTATATTTTTTAAAATTAAAAAAAAAAAAAGAAGAAGAATTCTGGGGGGTTCTGGAGGGGCTCAGTTGGTTAAGCATCCAACTTCAGCTCAGGTCATGATCTCACAGTTCATGGGTTCAAGCCCTGCATCAGGCTCTGTGCTGACAGCTCAGAGCCTGGAACCTGCTTCGGATTCTGTGTCTCCCTCTTTCTCTCTGCTCCTCCCCTGCTCATGCTCCGTCTCTCTCTCAAAAATAAATAAATGTTAAAAACAAACAAAAAAAAAATAGAGGGATTCTGGATGCAGAGGGAAGACTGTGAGAGGACACAGGGAGACGTCTGACGACAATCCGCACCTTGATCTTGGACTTGAGCCTCCAGGACCGTGAGACAATCAGTCTCTGTTGTCTAAGCCCCCCAGTCCGTGGTACTTTGTTACGCGGGCCACACTGACTACTACACCAGGCCAGGGCAGCAGCGTGGCGTGCGCTGGGCGGAGGCCCCCCCACCCCGGCCCCACCCCTCCTGACAGCCAGGCAAGGGCCCGGCGGCTCTCACCTCCAGACAGATGACAGAGCCCTGGTGCTCCCTGAACACCCGCAGCTGCTCCCCGCTCAGGATGTCCCAGGCGCGGATGGTGGCGTCGGTGCTGCCGGTGAAGGCCGTGTGGCCGGGCGCGTCCAGCACCAGGCAGAGCACGGCGCCCGTGTGGCCCTGCAGCGTCTGCTGGCAGCGGCCACTGGCCGCCTGCCACACCCGGGCCGTGCCGTCCGTGCTGCCCGTCACCAGCAGCCCCCCGGCCTCCTCGGCGCAGGGAGCCCCGGGCAGGTCCCAGGGGGCCGAGTAGGCGAGGGTCAGCACGCAGTTGCGGTGGCCCCTGAACTCCTGGGACACCTTCCCTGCGGCCACGCTCCAGGCTCGCGCCGTCCGGTCGTAGGAGCTGCTGAACAGCTGGTCATTGGCCACCAGGATTCTGGTGGGAAGAGGGAAAGGTGGGCGTCAGGGGTCAGGCCGCGCAGGGCGCCCCGCAGCCCGTCACGGGGACCCTCCCGCCGGTGTCCTACGTGTGCAGGGAGCCCAGGGAGCCTCGTGGGGGAGAGCGGAGTTCACCCCCGCGCAGGACAAAAGGCCTGCCAAGCAGGAAACGGTCCCGATGCGCGGTCTCATTCTGATGAATGTACACGTCTGCACAAGGTCAGAGGCCCTGAGCCCGCCCAGGGGAGCCGCTGCGGCGGCAGCTGGAACGCCGTGTGGCCAGCGTGGGGGCATCGCGGTCGGGACCCCGCACCTCACCGTCAGAGGCACCTCGCAACCCCCCTCTGCCGCCGAGCCTGGCGCGGGTAGGGGGAGAGCCGGACCTCAAGGAGAGCCCACCTCCCGCCTGCGCACGGCCCCCGTCGCTCTCCTCTGGGCGGTTCATATGCTCTGGGGGCCCAGGTCTAGCCCGGTCGGGCCCGGCACGAGAAGGCAGGGACCCCGGGCCTGGTCGGTGCCCCCCCAAATGCACACACCTGGCCTGGCTATGGAAACACGGGAAGAAGTGAATTCCACATCATGGCCTCAGGGACACTGCATGTTTGTGAGCACTTACTTAGGAATACAGTTACTAAGCCTTAGCATCTACCCACAACTACCAGTTTGTTTTTAAGTTTATTTCTTTACTTCGAGAGAGAGAGAGAGAGAAAGAGAGAGAGAGATCAGGGGAGGGGCAGAGGAGAGGAAGGGAGAGAGAGAGAGAGAGAGAGAGAGAGAGAGAGGGAGAGAATCCCAAGCAGGCTCCACACTGTCAGCACAGAGCCTGTCGTGGGTCTCGACCCCACGAACCGTGAGATCATGACCTGGGCTTAAACCAAGAGTCCGACGTTTAACCGACTGAGCCCCCCAGGCGCCCGCAGACCTATTAGTGTAGAAGAGCAACCTGTCAGAAGTGGTGTGTGTGTATGTGCGTTTGTGCGTGAGCACACACGTGCATGTGCTTGCGTGTGCGTGAACACGTGTGTGTTGAGTGTGTGCTCAGGAGAGTCTACGCCTGGCAGACCATCATTTCTAGCCTGGTTTGCTGTTGAGGAGCAGCTACAACCTGAGGGCAAGCCACCCACCCGCCCAGGGCCCCAGCAGGAGAGTCCGCTCTTTTCCTCAGTCACTACCTTCTGGAAATGGAAGAGCTTCTGGAAATGGCCAGCAGGAGGCGTGACCCCCTCGGCCACCTGTGTCGTCTGGGGCCCTGTTCCTCAGTGTCTGGACCTCGCTTGCTCTAGCTAAAGAGGCAGGGGAATAGAAGCCCAGAGTCTGCGGGCGCCCGGTGGCTCAGTCGGCACAGCGTCCGACTTCAGCTCAGATCATGAAATCAGTGCGTGGGTTTGAGCCCCACGTCGGGCTCTGTGCTGACCGTGCCGAGCCTGCTTCGGATTCTGTGTGTGTGTGTGTGTGTGTGTGTGTGTGAGAGAGAGAGAGAGAGAGAGAGAGAGAGAGAGAGAGAGAGAGAGAGACCTGGCTCCTGCCCCGTTGGCACAGCTGGTACTCCAGCCAGTTAATGGTCAGTCTGGCCCCCTTCCCTCCCACCGAGCCCTAAACCACTGGGCCAGCTTCTCACCCTGACCCAGCAGCCTGTGAAAAGCTCACACTGGCAGCTTGTGGCTGAGAGCAGCCCTCCGCCTCCACTGGCCCCCGCCCAGCCCCTGACCCCTTTCCCTGACTCAGCACACCTCCCCCCAGGAACCTCCCACCCCCACCAGCGAGGCCTCAACGGCTTGCAGGCCTGCAGGAGGGTGCCCATCCCCCTGGTTATGCCGGCACTCCCTCCGGAGTTTAAAACAGCCACTACAAGTTACATAAATAGTGTCAAATTGATCTGATCAGCACAGGAATTTTCATGGCTCAGCTCAGACCCAAATTCAATAAGGAAAAATTCAGACCTCCTTGAGAAGGAGGGGGGCGGATATTTCAACAACAACACGGAAAGGAGAGGTTTAAAAACACGCTGGGCTCCATCCTCCAACAATCCCCATCTTGGCCCCAAGCAAGCCCCCGGTCCACCCTCAGGGACCCACCGAGCCATTTCCTTGGGAAGCCGTTCCCATCAGGAGGGGCCGTGGCCTCCAGGGCCTTTCCCGTGCCAGGCCGTGCAGCATGCCCGCCGGGGCCCCCACGTGGGGCGGCCCTTCCCCGACGTCCACCTCCTGATCCCCCACGTGCAGCCCCGGGGACATCCGTCCTGAGCCTCCCACAGCCACGTGCTCCCGACCTCCGCACACGTCCAGGGCAGGCAGGCTCCCCCAGGGAAGTCAGTTCCTCCAGGGCGGGGCCCCGGCCGCGCTGACCTGTTCACGATGGACGTGTGCCCTCGAAACACCTGCAGGCACTGCCCGGTCTGCACGTCCCACTTCCGGATGGTACAGTCCGCGCTGCACGTGAAGGCGGCCTCGTCTTCCAGCTGGCAGAAGGTCACGTAGCTCTCGTGGCCTGCGGGCGAGGGAGACACGTGAGCATCCCAGGCCGTGGCCACTCGCGCCTCCCTTCTGGGAGGAGAGCGGGGAGGGGGAGGGGGGCGCAGGGGGAGTTTCAGGCGGGTCCAGAGTGACTGGCCTTTTGCAGGGACGACTCCAGGCTGGGAGTTTCAGGAGCGATGGGGCACCACAAGACCAGAGGGCACTGTCCCTGCCCCCCGATCTTTTTAAAAATATTTATTTTGAGAGAGCGCGCAGGGGAGGGGCAGAGAGAGGAGAGAGAATATCCAGCAGGCTTCGCACGGTCAGCACAGAGCCTGAGGCAGGGCTCGAAGCCACAAACTGCGATCACGACCTGAGATCAAGAGTTGTCACCAACTGAGCCCCCCAGGCGCCCCCACCCCCGCCTTCTGTTCCCTCCTCTTCCTCTCTCTTCTCTCCCCCTTCCTCACTGGCTCCTTTCAGTCTTCAAACTTTGTAGGCCTTTAAATTCACTCAGTCACTGAACAAACCCAGTGTCCCAGAGGCAGGCAGAAGAGAGGCCCAGGGCACACCTGGCCTGCGGGGCCGGAGCGCCCGGCTTAGCTCCCGGCGCAGGCTCGGTCTTAGCCCTCCGCACCCCCTTTTCCTCATGTGCCCTGGGGACAGTTAACAGTGCCCACCTCACGGGTCCATGACGGTGGCTGTTCCTGCGTTTGGGAAGAGACACTGGTCCCAAAGGAGTCAGGCCCTGATTCTTGGAAACTAGATTTGTCACCTTACTTGGGGGGGGGAGGGAAAAAAAAAGACGCCTTTGCAGATGTATGAAGGATTCTGCGATGGGGATTATCAAGGTGGCCAGAAATGTCACCACAAGTGTCCCTGTAAGAAGGGGCAGAGGGAGATGTGAGGAACCGAGAGAGGAGACACTGTGGAGACAGAGCAGAGTGACAGCAAGGTGCCCTGCACACACGGCCGATGCTGCACGAGCCAGGGGCACCCGCGGCCGCCAGAAACTGGCAGGGGGAACCAGCTGTCCCCTGCAGGGTCCGGAGGGGCAGCGACCCTGCGACACCTCGATCTTGGCCCGGCGACGCCGGTTTTGGATTGCTGGCTTCCAGAACTGAGCCAGAATGAACTTGTGTTTCAGGGCGCCCGGTGGTCAGAGCAGCCATAGGAGACTAACACGTGATTAGTTACAAACAGAGACAACTAGGGCTCCTTCCCTGCCTTCGAAGAGAGCACTGGCCCCGGAGGGGACACAGTCAGCGACAGGACACAGGCTGGACAGGGCACGACGGCGCAACAGGGCTGAAGCCTGGGTGATGCAGAGCAGGAAGGGTCTACGCGGTGCCGTGTGGGGAGGGAGAGAAGATGTCACACACCAAAGCGGGGGGACCCGAGGCCAGAACTTAGGTGCTAGGCAGAAGTGGTGGATCCGGCACCGATCCAGAGAGGGTGGAGGTCTAGGCCAGAGGGAGGGCCACACGGAGCCTGGGGTCTCGGCCAAGTGCACCTGCCCGTCTGTCTGCTTAGTGTAATCATCAGTCTTCTGTCACCCTGGCTGTGGGATTGAGGCTAACCAAGTAGACGTCAGGTGTCCGGTCCCAGGAGGCTTGTCCTTCAGGTCAACACGTTTCCAGCTCGGACAACCACTCTCAATAGCAAACGGAAGCAGGGTGTATTTTTAGGACGATCCAGGGACCGGAACATCAACAGAATCAAAGGAATGTCAGACCTAAGATCCATTTCACAGAGGAGGAAACTGAGGAATTCAAATACCTACACGTGTGGGCCATGTTAATTACAGGAGGCTCAGTCGGTTGAACATCCAACTCTTGATTTTGGCTCAGGTCGTGATCCCAGGGTTGTGGGCTCGAGCCCTGTGTCAGGCTCCGTGCTAAGCACGGAGCCTGCTTGAGATTCTCTCTCTCTCCTTCTCTCTCTCTTACACACACAAATAAATAAAGTGGTATCAGACAGGAATTTAGAATCTCCTGGGCAGTTTCAAGCTGATCTGCACTTTTCGGGGGGGCCTGGGTTTTAGTTCAGTTGCTCTTGGACCTCCCTGAGTCTAGGAAACATAATTTAAAAAACAAAAGGAAGGAAGACATGTTACCCTGTCTTCTTGGATAGCATATCCCAGGCCTCTGAGAGAATAACGTTTGTGTGAATTAAGTAAACACTTGAAGAGGGTGCAGATTATGTTTCCCTTAAAACACACGTCAGTTTAAATGTCGAGGGCAAAATGTGTTTGGCAAAACACGGCCCAGCTCTTTCGCCAACCCCCAGAATGTTTATAAAATATTTTACGATTGTCAACAAGCTCTCCCTGAAACCAGAGCTGCCGTGGGGACAGGGGTGGGGCGGGGGCGCTCAGCGCAGTCTAAGGGGCCACCTGGCCTGCCCAGCCTGGCGGGAAGGCAGCCCGGTGTCCCCAGGGCGGCCGGTGCGGGCACGCCCCGTGGTCCTCCTCCACGACCCTGTGCGGCCCGGGGCCAACCAAGCCCAGAGTCGCTTCCGCACGGGCGTCAGCCCCATTCTGGCTTTTTCTGTCCCATCTCAACAGCATCTGACAGCAGGAAGGCAAAGTGCCAAGGGCCCGTGAAGCCAAGAAAAGCACCGAGAACCAGTGTGGCAAGTAAACCATGGAGCCTGCGCTCAATGAAGCCACAGCCACTGGCCCAGGGATGAGAAGGCCGTGAGATGGGGGACCCATGATACGACCTGCAGAAGTAACAGCAACAGATATATGCAATAAAAATATAAACAGCTAGAAACAAAGACTTGACGAAGAAAAGAGTCAGTAATGAAAAGAATTTTTTCAGTGTAAAAAAAAAAATCTCATGTCTGAAGCTGGGCCGGGCTGACCCCCTGCTCTCCCGGGCGCCTGGCCCTGGGCTGGCTTGAGGCTCCCAGCAGCGGTCAAGGCCCTCCCGGGGACAAGCCCCTCCCTGCACGCCAGGCACCTCCTGAAAACCTGCACTGAACGAGCCCCAGCTCCGAGCCCTGCCCACAGACTGTATGACACGGTCCACCGCCCATGGCCTGCAGGGTCACCCAGGGAGGGGGGGAGGGGAAGCTGGGGGGAAGGAGGGTCCATCAAGTCTCCAGGGACCCCAGTGCCGCTGCCACCGCCGCCACGAGCTGTTGGAATTGTGTAGCATAAGCAAAATAAAGCCCAGCTAAAAATAAACATTTTTGAAGGGATAAAGAACGCAGGTACGATGCAGCTATTCTGTTCAAAAGGACACGCTGAGGCTCGGGGTTTTCTGTTTCTGCCGGCGTCGCCGGCCCTCCCCGCCTCCCTGGCAGTGTCCCCCAGACTCGCAGGAGGTTCAGAGTCAAAGCGGCCCCCCCACTGGCCGCCCAGGGTCCGCGGTGGTGGAGGTGGGCTGGCGCAGGCACCACCCGACCTGGAACCCACATTTGACTAACTCGGCTTGAAAAGCGGGTCCTCCCTGCCCTCTGTGTCCCTGCAAGTCTTAGGTCTACCCCTGTGGGTCTTCAGGCTGCTCAGTGCGACTCCCCTACGCCTTTGGGGCTCCCTGGCCTCCCAGTGGTCCCCAGGGGTCAGACGGCTGGCGGCCCCGCAGGAGGCTCTGGGGCAGGGTGTTGGCCTGGAGCCATCACACCCTCCCTGGAGGGGCGGTGAGCTTCCCATCGTTCAGTCTAGGAGCGATGATGGCCCTGCTGGTACAGCCACAGGCCCGGCGGCCCCCCTCTACGTGCCCACACTGGGCAAGTGTCTCTTCGTTAAATACTCCCCTCGAGCTACCATCTTGGGGGTACCATTTTGTGTCTTGCAGGACCCGCCTCGTGGAGCCGCCTGGTGACGTGTCCCAGCAAGTCAGAGCAGTGACCCCAGAGCATGGAAGGGGTGGCTGAAGTGCACAGTGTCTGACAAAACCAGCAAAGACCCCGCCTCGGGTTACCTGCCCTGAGCTCCCAGCCAGGGCCACCACTGCCGCCACAGGGGCTGTCCTGCCAGCCTCTCAGCCCACACCCTCCACCAAGCTGCCTCCATCGGTGAGCTCCTCCATCTGCACCCTCCGCACCCGCAGGGAGCTCCCCGCCCCCCAGGCAGTGATCTCCCAAGAGCTGAAGAATGAATTACCAGCCCGGGCTTCCTTCTCATCCACCCCTAAAACAAACTGCATTTCGATGGAATTCTTCCTTGATGGGGAAAAAGTCACTAAAGATTTATGTCTGGGAGCCTTCCCTGTGCCCTCTCCCCCCCCCCCCCGCCCCATGCTTCTTTAAAAACATGTAGGAGATGATTCAGGAAGCCCACTTCTGGGGATCTACACAAAGGGTCCAGAAGAGATGTTTGCACGCCCAAGTTCACGGCAGCACTGCTCACGATAGTCAAGTGAGAGCAACCCAAGGGTCCGCTGATGGATGAATGGGCCAAAAAGTGTGCACAACAGAACAGTTCGCAGCCTGCAAAAGGAAGGAAATCCCGACACCTGACTCAGCATGGGGGCGACCTCGAGGACATCCTGCTAAGTGAGCACAAAAAAGAGAAGCAATGTATGACTGCACTTGTACGGGGTCCCCGGGGCAGTCAGAGCCACAGAGGCAGAGCAGAATGCATGCGGGGGGCAGGGAATGCCAAAGGCTGGGCGGGGAGAGAAATGGGGTTATTGTTCAAAGAAGACTCCGTTTCAGTTTTACAAGATGAAAAAGTTCTGGAGACAGATAGTGGCAACGGCAGTAGGTTAGGAAAGTTTAATTCTCTTCGAACTGCATGTTTAAAAATGGTAAAGACGGTAAATTTGATGCTACATGTTTTCTATTATAGTTAAAAATTGGGGCGCCTGGGTGACAGTCGGCTAAGCATCCACTTTCGGCTCAGATCGTGATCTCTCGGCTCCTGAGTTCAAGCCTGATGACAAGCTCTCTGCTTTCTCTGCCTGCTTCAGATCCTCTCCCTCTTAGCGTCCCTCCCCTGCTCTCTCTCTCTGTCTCTCGCAGAAATAAATGAACATTAAAAAAACTGGGTGGCTGTCAGTTAAGCGTCGGACTTTGGCTCAGGGTCATGATCTCGTGGTTTGTGGGTTCAACCCCTGCGTCGGGCTCTGTGCTAACAGTTCAGAGCCTGGAGGCTGTTTTGGATTCTGGGTCTCTCTCTCTCTCCGCCTCTCCTCCACTTGTGTTCTGTCTCTCTCTCTCAAAAATAAATAAAACATTAAAAAATAAATAAACATAAAAAAATAAAGATAAATAAAATTGTCCAGGCCTCCCTGGGCCCGGAGGTGAGCCCTAACTACACAAGCTCATGGACTTCCTGCTCATCTGAAGTTCAAGTGCACAAAGCGGGTTTAGCAATCCAACCTTCAAGTTCCCTGGGGCAGCACCGCCCAATCGAACACAGCACAGTCAAGGGAGGGGTGCAGGCTCCAGCCAAGGCCACCTTGGGTGTGTCAACGCGGAAGCACCGGCTAGCCCTTGGGAGCCTCAGTCTCCTCATCCACTAATGGGGATAATGAGGCTGTGAGAAGCAAATGAGGAAGAGCTTTGGAGCTGGTCAGGTACAGGGCCAGCGAGACGCTTGTATTTGGTTCGGGCGTGTTGGTGTGGGCACGGGGGACTAATAGGAATCAGGAACTATCTATTTATTCAGCGTTTTAATCCCCTCCCCCCTACACAACTTCATAAGGCTACATGACTCTTTCATCACCCCCAATTCACAGAAAAAGAAACTGAGGCACGAGAAGTTAAGTAATGAGATGCCAGCGGGAGCAGCCCAGCTCCAGAGCCCCTTCTATTAACGGTCCCTCCCACTCCCTGGTGGCGAGTAGGGGTCGCCCAGATGGGCACCCACCAAGGCTTCCAGTAATTAGGAGTGTGCAGTGTGTTGACATGGAATTAAAAGCAAAGAGCACCCCTACCGTGGTAGAAGATGCTGTTAGAAGCCAAGGAGGCAACCACAGCGGCTTGGCACCTTCCAGCTGGGTCCCTTCCCACGCAGGAACAGACCAGGGCAGGGACTGCCATTTTGGGAAATGCTGCTTATCCCATTGAGCCAATGAAGTGCCCCAAATGAGTAGGTACTGGGGGCGCCTGGGTGGCTCAGTCGGTTAAGCGTCCACCTTGGGCTCAGGTCACGATCTTACAGTCGGTGGGTTCGAGCCCCGCGTCAGGCTCTGTGCTGACAGCTCAGAGCCCAGAGCCTGTTTCTGATTCTGTGTCTCCCTCTCTCTCTGTCCCTCCCCCGATCACTCTCTGTCTCTCAAAATAAAATAAAGACATAAAAGAAAATTTTTTTAAATGAGTAGGTACACAATGGATAAAAGAAAAAGAGGGGGAAAGAATAATTAATAACTACATTAAATGCAATTCTTCCCCTTACAGAATAATTGACAGTTAAGCTTGCTTTTTTCATCGAGAACTCACCAACTACATTTGAAAGCCAGTTCCATTTTCTTTGAAAAAAAATTTTTTTAATGTTTATTTCTGAGAGAGAGAGAGAGAGAGTGCAGGCAGGGGAGGGGCAGAGAGAGAGGGAGACACAGAATCTGAAGCAGCTCCAGGCTCTGAACTGTCAGCACAGAGCCCGAGGTGGGGCCCCAACCCAGGAACGGCAAGATCATGACCTGAGCCAAAGTCGGAGCTTAACCCACTGAGCGACCCAGATGCTCTCAGTTCCATTTTCTGAAAAAGCAGAGCGGCTGCGAGGAGACAGGGCCGCTGCACACCCCAACTGACTCTTTTCTAAGTTACTATTAGAACTTCATGACTTAACGATAAGGCAAGATTATTCTGTCCCTTGTGTGCATGAAAATTCTTGACGCGCCAATCTGTACAGGAGAGGAAACAAATCGGGCAGAGATGGGGAGCAGTTGCTCAGTTGGATGGAGGGTTCATGTTCGGGGGGATGGCTCTCGGCCAGGGCACAGAGCGTCAGGCAGAGCGGGTGTTAGTGTCCTCAGCAGACAAGCCACCAGGAGGGCCACAAAGTGGGTGTCTGGGCTGCCAGGCTGGATGGTGAGGACAGGGTAGAGCTGGGCGGGAGGGCGGGTCCTGGGGGCTCAGTCCACGCTCTGGAGGGGCCCTGAGTGCCGAGTCACATGCCCACCAGCCCACAACCACCCTGGGAAGGCCTGGAGCTCAACTGGGGAGGAAACCCACCTACGAACCGGAGGGGCACCAGGCCCGAGGGCTCCCTGGGTCACTGTGAGTCAGATCCACCCACAAGCTTGTTAGAAGTGCAAATTCTAGAGCCCTCCACCATGGGCCCACTGACTGCGAGCTGGGAATGTACGTGTCTGAAATCCCACCAGACAAGTCTGATGTTTGAGGAGCAAGGCAGCGAGATTTTCAATTTTGAACAGATCCGGGGCGCCCCGGGGGGCTCACTCGGTTAAGCGTCGGGCTTCGGCTCAGGTCATGATCTCGAGGTTTGTGACTTTGATTCCCGCACCAGGCTCTGTGCTGACAGCTCGGAGCCCGGAGCCTGCTTTGGATTCTCTGTCTCCTTCTCTCTCTGCCCTCCCATGCTCATGCTCTGTCTCTCTCCATCTCTCAAAAATGCATAAACACTAAAAACATTTTTTCTTAAATACATTTTGAACAGGGGGTGCCTCAGTGAGTTAAGCGTCCGACTTCGGCTCAGGTCATGATCTCCCAGTTCGTGGGTTCGAGCCCCGCGGCGGGCTCTGTGCTGACAGCTCAGAGCCTGGAGCCTGCTTTGGGTTCTGTGTCTCCCTCGCTCTCTGCCCCTCCCCCTGCAAGCACTCTGTCTCTCTCAAAAAAAAAAAAAGTAAATAAAATAAATTTTGAGCAAACTCAGGTCAGTGCCCGTCCATCTGTGTGACTTCGTGGGGGGAGGGGTGGCAGGAACAATGTGTGTTAGTTTGTAACAGAATTACCCTTATCCACGCCCACTGCCAAGTAACAGACAATCCACAATTCATTTCTCCCAGGCTTCGAAATATCTACCATAACTGCTTTTATTGAAAACCAATAGGGTCAATACCCACCAGTAACGAGGCTCTCTGTGCGGACATGGGCTGGAAGACCCCGGGGGAGGCCACCCAGAATTTGCTGAGTATTAGTAACCACAGCGCGAGAGCCGTGTGCTTCAAGAGGGTTACTACCTGCTCTCAGCAGCGAGGGAGAGGGACCTCGCAGCCCCGCAGTGTGGACAGGTCACAGGGACCCAGGGTAAGAAATGCATCCATCCGCCTCCAGTGTGACCAAGTACACGTATATAAACCAATACGTACGTATTTGTGAATCTTTCATAAAACAACCGGTACGCGTACTACGTGTGCCCCCTGCCATTGCATAGTGTTTCCAAGCATGCTAACCCCCTCCCACCTTTCGGGAAACTTTGATCCGTCCCCCTCCCACACCCCTTCATTTACCAGCAGAAGAAGCGAAGCTGCAGAGAGAGCAGGGCAGGAAGGGCGGTCAGATGGGGAAGGGAGGGGCTTCAAATTTCAACGCTACCCTCCCCTCCACAGGCTGCGCGACCCCGGGCAGCTTACTTCCGGAATGCCTCAGTTTCCCTGTCTGCACGAGTGGGATAACAGGAGCATGAGGACTGCACACCGCAGAGCTCAGCGCCGCGGGGTGGGGGTGGGGGGTGGGGACTCAGCAAGCCCGGGTGGTGACCACAATGGCTCCGAGAGGAAACGTCCCGGCCAAAGGCCGCAGGGACCTCGAGACCCGGGAAGGCGCTGCCCGGCCGCAGGAGTGCGCCGAGGTGCGGTTCCCGGAGGTGTTAGGGCCGCGGGAACGGAAATGAGTTCCTGCAAGGGGCTGACAGGTGACCGAAGCCCCACGCAGGGGGTGCCCCTCGGCCCGCGGGTCGGGGTCGCGGCCCGGCTGGGCACCTCACCCCGGGCGCGCTCAGCGGGCGGCACGCTGGGCCCCGGGCGGGAGCGGGGGCTGCGCCTTGGGGAGGGGGGGGTGTCTGCGGGCCGTGGGTCCGAGGTCAGAGGCGGGCGAGCGGGCGGAGAGGACAGGGCGGGAGGGCGCGGCGGGTCTACCTTGCAGGAGGGCGCAGCACCGGCCGTCCGCGGTGCTCCAGAGCCGGGCCGTGCCGTCCTCGCTGCCCGTCAGCAGGCGCTGCCCGTCCGGGCTCAGGCTGAGCCAGTTGATGCCCCCGCGGTGGTCGGCGCAGACCCTCAGGGCCGATCCCCCGCCGCCCATGCCGCCGGCCCCGCGGGAGCCCGGGAGGCGGCGCCCCGCTACGGAGGGGCGCCCCGGCATCCGCGCGCCGGCTCCCTGCGGCCGAGCCCCGCGGCCATGGCCCCACGGGGCTCGGGGTGCGGACGAAGGGAGGCGGGGGCTCCGGCTCCCGCGCCGCCCACCCGGCTTCCGGGCCCGCGGACCCAGCGGCGGTGGGGGGCGGGGGGAGCTGCACCGCGGGGGGGTGGGGAGGGCGGCCCGCCGGCACTTCCCGGGCCCCCGTCGGCGCCCGCTGCCTCCCCTCCCCGCGCCCCACCTGAGCAGGCCCCTCCCTCCGGGGACCCCCCCGGGCGGAGGCGTCTCGGGCCGCGCGGGCAGGCTCGAGCCTCTTAGGGGTTCCGCGGCAGGGGGAGCCCGGGAAGCCGAGCGCCCCGCGCCCCGCGCGCCCTCCCCGGCCGGCGCCGCGCGCTCGGGGCGGTGAGTGTGGAACAATGCGGTCGGGCCTGGCTCCTCCTCAGAGACCACCCCCCAAACCTGTCCCCTCCCACTTCTCCGGCCGGCGCCCCAGCCCCCACGCCGCCTCCCCGCCCTCCGGACCCACCGCCCCACGTGCGACTCCCCGCGGCTGCCCGGGGCGGGGGCCGAAGGCTGGGCGGAGGCAGGAGGAGGTGGACGCGCGGGTCCGGTGGGGTGGGAGCGCACTCCCCGGCGGGTCTGCCCCCTCCCTGCTCCCAGCCCTAAGGACCCTCCCCGACCGAGGAGCTCTCCGTGGGGGGGGGGCGGGGGGGTCAGGAGGGGTTAGGACAGTCCCCTTGTTGGAGAGGGCCCCTAGCCCGCCCTCGCTGGGAAATGACACACACGCCCCGATTCTAAACAAGTTCCGCAAGCGAGGTGGCGACGGGTGAGCCAGGGGGGAGCGGCGCGATGGGGTTTTCCGGAGAGGTCAGGTTCACCCGCTCGTGGGGCCGCGGGGTCCGAGGCGCCGGGCTTCCGCCGTCGTCGTGCTGGGGGTGTGGGGCCCCCACCCACGGATCCATCGTTTGGCATCCACTCCCATCCCGCCCACCCCAGTGCCTCCGACGGCTCACTGAGGTCTCTGCGGGAATCCCACGGCCCAGGAGGGGAGCCCTCCCGGAACGCCGGCTGGTTCCCATTAGAGCCGTTCCGGTGCCTGCTTCGCTGGGGGCGGGGAGGGGTGACCGCCCCCACCCCCCAGCGCCCCGCCTCGGATCCTCCAGGTCCTAAAGGCAGCAGGGTTTCCCGAGGGGCGGGGGAGGGGAGCCAGGTAGCTTCGAAAGCCAGCCCAGCCGGACCTTCTCGCAATGGCTGACCTTGCCCAGACACCAAAAGAAAGCTCCATAACGGGGTCCCAAAGCACACTGGCCGATGTATCCTCCAAGCGGCTTAACCAGAGAAACCAATCTTTCTCTGATCTTGTGAGTCAGTTTACAGTTGAGCTTAAGGAGCTGCCCCCAGTGAAGGGTTTAGGGGTGGGGGGCAGTGGAATTTGGAGTTGCGGGAAGACGCAGGTAGAGGTGGGCTGAAAGGAGGTGGATCCGTTAGGAGAGAGGAAGACAGACACCCTGAAGTGTCCTAGAGATGGACTCCTGCGAGACTGGCTGCTTGCAGGGAGGGAGGGAGGCCCCGGGGAGTCTCTGTTACTCTAAGGCTGGGTAGATGGGTTCAGAGATGCTCCTGCAGGCGGATCCGAAGTTCATTTTAGTACTTGCGGACTTCACGATGCCACTGCAGCATCAGGTATGAATGGGCAGCTGGCCGCACAGGTGCTCAGAAAAAAACCAGAGGAGACAGAAGACCCTTCCCTGGGCTGCTGCTTCCCTCCGGTCCTGGTCTGATTTCTTTTACCCTCTCTGCCCTCTGCACAGGGTCCCTCCATACCTGACACAGGAATGCCACACAGTTCCCAAAGTGGACTTGCTGAGCTACCATTTGCTTTAAAAAAAAAAGAAAAGAAAAGAAAAGCAAAGGAAAAAGAAAGCTTTTTTTCCCCTTACATTCCAGATTTCAGGCTTTACGAGGCGGAGGGAGGGATATTTGGGACAGAGAGACCTTCCCAAGCCTCCTGACCTTTCACTCAACAGGCAACGGCCATCTCTGGTTTATGGTTTCGGGCCAGCTCTGCTAACGCCTCTTACCAAGAATTTCCTGAAACTACCCCACCCAGTCGCCCGCCTCAACAGCATCTTGCCTACATCAGACAACCAAGAGGTGAAACCAGGTCCCCGTATTTGCCACCACCATCAGACGGGAAAGTAATGATCTCCAAGGCCGGCAGAAATCTTTCCTACAAACTTTATCCTCCCCCAGCCATTAAACAAACAAACAAACAAAATCCTACGCTATTGGAATGTTTACGTTATTTCACTCGAATCAAGTGACCCGTGACATGCAGGCACAATTACACATCGTGTAATAACTCCTAACTTCCATAACAACTCCTCGAGACAAATATTATCATTCTGATTTTGCTGCTGAGGACAGAGAGGCCTATAGAGGGTAAGAAGACAAAGTCACGCAGTGAGTGGGAGATTCAGGTCTGTTAGGCTCATGTTTAGATGTTCTGTCTACATCGTGCAAGTCAATCAGTGGCTTAAAAGGAGAAAGCCCATCCCTCATGGTAATTCCTTTCCCTCCGACGTCTCTGAATTTTCCTGGAGAGAAATCTCAGGCAAAGGTCTGGCAAGAGTGTCTTTCCCTGAATCTTCCAACAAGGATCTGTGGGCACCTCACTAAGCGCATTTCTCTGTGGATGGAGACAAGCAAGCCCACAGCCCGTCCTTGGTGCCCGATACACTTCTGCCTCCTGCAGAGAGCTCAGACGTGCTGCCTGTGGGCATGGTGGTTAGAGTGTGTGTGCATGCGTGCCTGTTCGTGTGTGTGTGTGTGTGTGTGTGTGTGTGTGACTAGAAGGGACAAAGAGAGAGGCTGGTTCAGCAGCATTTGTTTTCACTCATTCCAGAAGATTTCTAGCTGCCCACAAAATGATGCATTTGCTTGTTCTCCGTGTGGATCCCAAAGCCAAGTTTAATTTGTACTGGAGCTGTTAATCCTACTATGTGTATTTTACATAAGGTCCCTGCCTTTCTGATCGGAAGCCAGAGTCCGTTGAGCCACTGACTCTACACCTGCCCTTACTTTGCCGGGCGTGGAGGAGGGGAAAAAGCTGGTGTCCGTCAAGGACTCTTTGCTTGTGGTGGGAGAAACTGGGTTCACCCAGTGGAAGGGCATTTGTCAGAAGGCTATCTGGTGAAGGAAGAGAAGAGCATCCAAATTAAAGAAAGGTAAGAACTAGGGAAATACCTTAGCACCAGATCTTGAGGCATTTGTCTCCAGGAGGCTGTTGTGAGTTAACTTGGCTCCAGCCTTCTCTCTCGGTGCGATCTGGCACCAGACTTAATTTCCAAGGAGTGGGAATTTAATTGCCCTCCCTTGAGTTTAATTTGGTTGGGAGCAGGACCCAGTAGCCCCTGCTTCATCCGCGTTGGCCACTTGTGGGGGTCCCATAAGTCACTGCCGCCCGCCCTTTGGCTGCCTGGCACTTACACCCAAACACCCTTCTGGCCACGGTCACCAGTCCCTAACACCCTGCTTTACAGTGACCACCCCATGCGAACCCCACACGCACGGCCCTGTTCCCAACGCCTACCCAGTTTACATGCTCTGAAGTGATGTGAAACGGTGGCTGCTGTCCGAGTTCAAGAACTCGGAGTATGATCCTTTCCCAACCACATACCATCTTAACAGCCAACAGCCTGTGGACTGAATAAAATCAGACACTGAAAACCTACGCAACCTATAAAAAGAAGAACATTGTAAAGACGTACATGACACAACAAGCAAGGAATACAGGGCAGAGGCTGCCATTCTTATTTCTAGAGCTGACATATGTGTCGTCTGCCCCCGTGACCCGTTGCTGCTCCCCTAGCTTCCGGGTCCCCTCTCTGTCTCTTTGTGGAGACCCAAACCTTAATTCCTGAGAGGCCTGAGTCTTTGGTGGCCCTGCCTGTGTAGTTGTCTCTGTGTTCCGGTAATCTTCAATGCTGAGTATGACAATCAGAATAATAACAGTAATATTTATTGAACACTTCGAATACGCTAGAACATGTTACAAGTGCTTTACAGGTCTTATTTCATTATCCTCACAGTAACATTTTTTTATTTTTATTTTTTAAAGTCTACTTATTTTGAGAGAGAGAGAGAAAGAATGAGCATGGGAGGGGCAGGGTAAGGGGACAGAGGATCTGAAGCAGGTTCCGCGATGACAGCAGAGAGCCAATATGGGACTCAAACCCACGAACTGTGAGATCATGACCCATAGCTGAAGTTTAACACCCAACAACCCGAGTCACCGAAGCACCCCACGATAACATTTTTAAAGATGTTGATTTGTTTATTTACTTATTTAGAGAGAGAGCATGCACATGAGCAGGGGAGGGACAGAGAGAGAGAACCCCCAAGCAGGCTCCGTGATGTCAGGGCAGAGCTGGACGTGGGGCTCAATCTCAAGAACTGTGAGATCGTGACCTGAGCCAAAATCAAGAGTCAGATACTTCACCTACTGAGCTACCCAGGCACCCCCTCCCCCTCCAATAACATTTTTAAGTAATCTCCATGCTCAACATGGGGCTCGAACTCATGATGTCAAGATCAAGAGTCTCATGTTCTACCAGGTGCCCCTTCATAATAACCTTTTGAAGAAGTATTGTTAATATCCCATCTTACTGTAGGGAAACCGAGATATAGAGGGACGTTAACTCTTGTGGGCTCACACAGCTAGCAAGAGGGGAGGCTGGACTGGAGTCTGGGCACTGTCCATGGGTCACCTGCATACTCCTCCAGGCCACCGCTCCGTGGGGGTCACATTGCCCCTGGAAGTCAGCCAGACCCTTTTGTCACTACTATAGCTCCCCCACACTCTGCTGGTCGTCCTTTACCTTCCCCATGCATCTCTGTCTCAGGAAATGGCCCAAGGTCTAACTTTACAAAACTATGAAGAAGTCACCGGAGGCACCTGTCACATCCTGGCAGGCATCTTCCAAAGGATCAGGCCCAGGAATTGTGCAGATCCATCACACACTGCCTCCAAAGGGGCCTCTCTTCACCTTCCTGATTCTGCAGATCAACGGAGACCTCAGTGGACTGCTCAGAGTTAACTCTGGGAGATTCCCCTAAATCACCCGGAGCCTGAGGCCTTGGAAGGTGATGCGGCTCCCTGAGACCCAAGCTCTGCGCCTGCCTTACACTCAGAGGCCGGACCCACCGTACCTCCCAGCAGATGCTCGTCCACTCCTCAGAGACCAGATGTTTCTTCACAGCCCCTCCTGTCGGCATTCCCTGAGAGACAGCCTTTTTAAAGATTCTGGAACTTCTGTCAGCGATTTATTCCTTGTGGCCAGGGTGGAGTTGAGGGGAAACCAACTGGGTGCCCTTGGGGTACCAGCCAAGGAGGGGTGAGGTGGGTACGTGTGAATGTGTCCGACTCAGCACTCCTGTCTCTCTCTC